GCCTGCGTCGAGCAGCAGCTTCACCACCTGCTCGTAGCCTAGGGATGAAGCCGCGTAGAGTGCGTTGCCGAATCCTCCACCCTGCGCCGCGTTGACGTCGGCGCCTGCGTCGAGCAGCAGCTTTACCACACCTCTCAGGTCTAGGAGCGCTGCATAGTAAAGCGGCTCGTGTATCTCCTCTAGTCTCTTTTGAAAGTCTGGGTTCTTCCGAGGTCTCTCAGGATCCCACAACCGAATCCAGTTGACGTACGAAGAGCTGTTCTTGGAGCATAGGCGAATTGCTAGTTGGCCCATCTCTTCTGTTTGTTCACCTGTCTTTCGAGCGTGGCTAATCCAGTACTCCGCCGAGTAACGTGCGAGCCTGAATACCTGGAGGAAGCCTGGGTGTAGCTCTAATTGCTTGAACTGGAGAAGGTAGCCAAGGCAGCTTCTTACCATAGCATCATGGCAGACATCATCTCGCATGCCGTACTTCGCTGCTTCTCCTGTCCAGATTCTGTCTGAAATAAGGTACTCTTTGACTGAGTAATGCGCTAACGCAACAATTTCTCTTGATACATCTTTAAGCTCATAGTCGCTGTACTGCTCATGTTCGTTGTTAACAGTAATAGTAACAAGACTAGAACAGATATGCAATGCGTCTAATGGATCCTCAAGAACTTCATCACGGTCAAATGCAGGGTCTCGCTTGGTGTCGATGGCGACAACTTCAGCGATCTCGTTGACTGAGAGTGGCCGTGCGGAGAATGTTAACCACCGTAAGATGCGAATAGCATACTCCGAATCAGCTTCGCTTATCGCGGAAAGGATGCGTTCATATGTCTGGTCCAGCGTTGGTGGCAGTGTAGCAAGAGCCTTGCGGAGTGTTGCGCGATTGCGGCACTTTGCTAAACTATCAAGCTGGCATGCAGCCCATCGAAACCTGTCGTATGCATTAACATAGATCATGTCAAACTTAAATTAAAAGCATACATTCCATTGGCCCCGTCTCTCAACACCGACTCAATCTCCTGTCTAACACCATCATCCTTGGTCCATTTTTGAAGGGTTTTATCCGTGGCTAGCCTCTGTCGGATATATCGTTGTATGTCTTTGTCTACCAGCGCGCTTTGGAGACAGATTCTCCTCTGGTCGTCTACAATCTCTTCTAGGGTGCTCTCGATAGCTCGCTCTCTTCGGCTCGTTACAAGGAGGTGCAAGTTCTGAAGTCTCCATCCTGCTATTATTTCGAGCGTCTCCATTAGCTCCGCGCGTTGAGCGCATTCATCTAGCGCATCGAGCACGACGTATGCCTGCGGGAGCTCTGGGATCATTAACCGCAATACCTCTTGAAGTGCATCCGCTGACGGCTGCTGCTGCCCGCTTTCGCACGAAGAGAACAGGTCGTTGAGACTCGTAGGGATTTTTCCAGATTGCCGTGAGAGCTGCCAGATTAGAGAACGCAGCATTTTCCCTAGGTCCTGCTTTTGCACGTCGTTGAAGTCGAAGAAGAAATACGCAGCTACCCTCCCAGGACCATCTCGACAGAATTCGAGCACGTCGCCGAGAACGGCAGAGCATAGGATAGTCTTGCCACACCCAGGGATTCCATACAGCCAAAGAGGCAACGCAGGCTCTGTCTTCCATCTAGTGTATTCCCTGCCCTCGAGGAACCAGCCCCCAGTGTCGGCCTGCCGTAGCTTAAGAGCTTTCTGGTAGTTCGTGGACGGGTCTGGCGCAGACAGCCACCGGCGGATCTTGAGCAATTTCTCATCTGCAGAGGAGTCAGCGAACGTTATGCAATTCCCCCACTACACAGCTACCCGTACGAGGAGAGCGTTTGGCACTGTTAGCGCCGGCTCGGGCCTTGCAAACACCTGGTCCTCCCATACCTACCGGGCGGAGGCCGGAACTCCACATGGACAGAGCCGTGGATTTCGCCAGCTTGAAAGCCAGCATTGTTGTTGCCGAAAGATTTCGTAGGCGCCATGGTGCTGTTGTAGCGGAGCATGCATCTGCGACTGCGCGCTGCTGCAAAGCGCCAGCTGAACCTCAGGCTGGCGGTCTCGGGCAGGTGTGGGCCAGACGGAAGGCTGAGGCTGGGAGGCCGCCGAGAGGCCGCCGCCAAGCATGGCCTGGCCCGAGTGGCCCGCCCCTCGCTGGAGCTGATCCTGGTCGTTGATCCGTACTTAACCCCCGCATGCCACGCTTCAGCGGACTTTTTGCACACTCCTTTTAGTCGCTTCTGGTGCCAAATGGCCGATCCACTCAGCATTGCCGCAAGTGTTGTTGGGGTCACAGTCCCAGCGTTGCATGGTACCCGACTTCTTCTCGACGAACTACAGAACCTCAAAGACGCACCGAAAGCCGTGAAACGTCTAACAAGAGGACGTTACCTCTGTTGAAACAGCACTCAAGTTGCTCCAAAACTTGGATGAGAGAGTATGGATATCACTTGGTCCAAATGTAGCCGAGGAGTCAAAGAATACGATCAGCAGCTGCACGCAAGCATGCGATCTCTTCAGAACCGACTTGCAGCGGTGGACTAGACACTCAGAGGATGGAAAACTAGTATGGCAGGATCGAGCAAACGTGGGATTGTTCAAACAAGGACAAATGAAGGCTATGTCCGAGCAGCTCCAAAACTGCAAGCGCTCCATCAGCAGCATCGTCAGCATAGCGACCTTGTCAGTAACTTTAATCTGAAGGCCTCAGTGCGGAAATCGAGCTAACCTTACCTTACAGATACAGCTCCGTCCGCAATGGCCACATCACGGAGAGATTAAGAAAACGATATCTACAAATCAGGATGAGGTCAAGGGTGCTATTACCACAGCGGATAAGCAGCTGATAGTATTGGATGACAAGCTGGAGGAGATGAACGTCAGCAGCGATGAGGAGGAAGTGGCTGGAAACAAGGAAGACAAAGCTGGTGCATTGCGGCAACTTGAAGAAGAACGTAAAGCACTAGATACGACACGAAAACTGCTGGATGAGCTGCTCTCTAAGACACAGGAAGAAGCTGTTGCGAAAGCCGCAGGGGCCCAGAGCCATTCACCAAATATCTCATTCGGCAATCAGAATTCGGGGTTTGAAGCTGGAATTATCAATGGCGGTGTCAGTGGAATTAGTTTCGGAGGAATGTAAGCATTATTCATGGGCAGGAATAAATTTAATTGAAGGTCAGCCTTAGCTATGTTCATGAATAGCCCATCCAACATGGTTGAAAGTGACCCCTCCCCCTCTGCTGTTTCCCACACAACCCAAACCACACTCTAAAAATACATTATACCCTTGCCTTGAACGTTTCTCGAATAGCCTTCCCGTTCCGCTTATGAGGGTCTTCAATCTAGCAAGGAACCCTTCGAGATGGGTGGGGCGAATGTGGCGGTAGGGACATAAGCTTAACATTAGCATCAGAACACATCTTCTTTATCTGTTTGGTACGGTGGAAAGACTCGTTGTCCATTCGTTATATTTCTGGTATGCTTGCTCTCCTATATATTATTATTCTCTCTCTTTCATAGAGGACCAGAGATTAGCATAACTCTATATACTGTATTACTTCGCCACAGAGAAGCTTCAAGCATAGTCTAGATTGAGTTAGTAGCGAGATGGCTACTTCTGGATCTACGTACGCGTACTGTAGAAGATTCGCCACTTTAGCATCGTTAAAACTAACGAACTCCTCCAATGACACTAGTAGGAAGGATGGCCGAACCGCTCCTGCCAGGACCTTTGCGCCGGAGGCGATAGTTTGTAGATATAGCTAAAGAGTAGACTACTATATGCAGCTCTACGTAGTCTAGAGTCTTGCTAAGCATAGCTATTATTACAGCTCCGCTAGTAATTACTTATCCTTTACGAACATGAACAATTCAAAATCTAGCATGACCCTTAAAGGTTAAGCTAAAGCACATCTCTACCGTCCTAGAAATTGCAGTGCCTATGTAAGGAGCTATTAGTTATTTAACCGTACAACAGCTATAATACTAAAGCATGCAGAGCCTTTCCGCCTTCGTATGCGCTTACAACGACGGCATTTTGCCAGTAACGCTTAGTTAAACCTACATGCCAAAGCGCAGGCTTTAATTTCCAGGCCCGCCGCGCTCTATCGTAGCTTGTATCCTTTCTATCACATTGTATTCTCCTCCAACGAGCCAAGACTAGAGCTCGCTGCGGCTTGGTCTAGGAATCGGCGGGCCGGTGGACTCGAGAAGCATAAGGACGTGAAGGTCTTGATCAGGTCGTTCCATCGGTCAGCGGAAGGGACAACGGCGGATCTCGGCACTCCGGAGCGGTATAGTTGTATGGCTCTACACCACAAAGTAGGTATCGCTGTGCGTTAAACTGCATCTCGAGTGTGTGTGGGATCGCTGTGTCGAAGCTGGTTTCGCCGCTGGAAGCGCGTTGGCTGACTAAACAAGCACCGGGCCTTGCCTTATCACTGCTCCCAATCCTAAGTCGGATTTAACGATAATCCGAACGCTTATGCAACTCACACAGCTAGATATCTTGCAATAAAATACTCCCCAGTGCATAAGGTAAGACGTGCGGGGCCATCTCGCATTAGCCCGGATCGGTAGTTTGCTTCCGCTAGAAGTACTAATCAACGTTGCGGCGCTGCATAGAATTGCGCTCCGCAGCGCGCATAGGGTTAATGATAACTTCCTAGTATCCGAGGGAGGTTGTGAAGGTAGGATAAGGCTGTTCTACAAAAATTTAGAGCGAAAAAGGCTTAAGGTTAGCGCTGTGGGTAGAGAAGCATGTTTTACTATAACACAAGGCGCTATACAAATTAGGCGCGGAAGCAAGAATGCGAACGTAATTTTTAGGAAAAGTAGAACATAGACATTTAGAGATAGCTGTAGCAGATTATATTCGTAGAATTATAACGACATTTGTTGTGCGCATAAGCTTTCCAGTTGCTAAAAGTTAAAGTACCCTTATTTATCTCGCCACACAGTGTGTCTCGCTACGTAGGGATGGACATTAGTCCATAAATTGAACGCATTGCCATAGACAATTTCTTCAAGGTGATTGACCCACCCGGGTGGGCAGTCGGCTCTGCAGCGCTAGTTAATGTTTGAGACAGAAGCTATCTTTGAGGTCGTGGCATAATATCGTCGAGAATCATCGAGAGCTAGGTGGCCCGTGGTTCTGTTAGCAGTGCTTTATGGTTGAGACTACGGGTACCCGAATTTCGCTGACTAGCTTGACCTGAAGCGACCCCGGAGGGAGCGTATTCCACATGTGACCGTCTTTGCCTCATCCAGCGAGAGTGATAGGGATGTGTTTGCCTATTATTGTTTCGTAAAGGCCTGCGGTCCCTAAGAGATGCTATAGTGGAATGGACAGCGATAAAAATAAGACAATGGTGCATGATGGAAGACTATAGGTAGTTGGTCTGATTACGCGCTGAACCTATGCTCATACTATATGGAGGCGTAGCTCCCTATCCGCAAGCTCGCACTGTGCATAAAGTCTCGGGAAACAGCCTTTGGTAGTAAGATCTGAGTCGGCTTACAGACTAGTGGGAAGCATCTCTAGGGAGGCATGCTGATTCGCTATTGCGTAATCTAGGATGCTAAAGCTAACAGTTCGAGCATCTGAGCTCCCGCACGAGTAGGAAGCATGCTGTGAGCTGTGCCTCGTTGGAAGTAGCGAGGCGTAAGCACTAGGCCCCACATATATACAAAGCTGCCCAGCTTAGCTTTAGCTGTGCCTCATGGAATTTAAATTCAAACCCAAAGATTCCGATTTCAATCTCAGCGCCTCTTTTCACAGCTCTGGGTTTTATTTTCCCTCAGATCTTTCGCGCGTTTCGGCATCCTCCTCCAGTGATGGCTTCAAGTAAATCCACCGTCCTCATCACAGGCTGCAGTGATGGCGGCATCGGCTCTGCTTTAGCCGCCGTCTTCCAGCAGCGAGGCTACCACGTCTTTGCCACAGCCCGCGATCCGTCCAAGTTGTCTTCGCTCAAAGATCTTCCCAACGTGACACTTCTAAAGCTCGAAGTCACCAGCGCAGCCGACATCCACGCCGCCGCAGAGGCGGTAAGCAAACAAACAGGCGGAACATTAGACTACCTGATCAGCAACGCTGGGCGCAACCACTTCACGCCCATTCTTGATGACGACGTCGCGAAGGCCAGGGAGATTTTCGACATCAATATCTTCGGGCCGATGGTGCTGGCGCAGACTTTTGCGCCGTTGCTTATGAGGGCGAAGGGCATGCTTGCATTTATCACGTCTATTGCGGGCTACATGAATACTCCGTACATGGGTGCGTAGCCGCTTCTTTCTCTTTCGTCTTCTTTGCCAGGAAGTTCAAGAAAATGTGCTGATCCCAAAAGGCACCTACTCCGCATCCAAGCGCGCACTCGAGGTAATAGCCGAGACCATGCGTCTTGAGCTGAAGCCCTTCGGTGTCGACGTCCTGTCCGTCGTGACAGGTGCAGTTAAATCCCAAGGCCAAACATATTTCGGCGATTTCGCACTGCCCGAGAACTCGCTGTACAAGCCTATTGAAGATAGTGTTTAAGCAGAGCGCGAGGAGGCGACGGCCTGCAGAGAATGGATACGATGGAGTATGCAAATGCGGTTGCGGATGAGGTTGTGAAGCGCACGACCGGTCGATTCTGGTATGGCCAGAATGCGGATATGGTGAGGATGAGTACTACGGCCGTGAATGTGCCGCAGGAAGCTATGGTAAGCTGCCTTCATGCTATAAATCTGGTTTGGAGGGCTAACCGGGTCCAGGATGCGGGAATGATAATGGGGACTGGATTGGACAAGCTGAACAAGTGAGAGCGGTTGAAAGGGAAGACGCGTTGGGAATAGGCTATTCATCTACGTGGTATGTACGTAAGGAGCATCTGAGACAAGCAGTTGAGATCCTATTTTTATGATTCCACAGCCTCGGCCCGCCGACCTCCTCTATTGACAGATTTTGAGGCACATGTCCGCCGACCATTATCCCAATTCTGCGCCGTCTCACCATCTAGCCGTTCCCCGTTTCCGCAGCACCTCAGCGTCCCTCAAAGTTCACCACATACCCCCTCCTATTCTCCTTAAACGGCACAAACCGATACACGACCCTCCTCCCCTCCGCGTTCTTCTCCTCATGCAGCAGAAATCCCGGGCTCGGCTTCTTATCCTTCTTGTAGCGCTCGATTGCACTCTCGGTGTCGAGTAACATCGAAGACCATTGGATCGTCTTGTGGAAGTCTTGACGCCATTCGTGGAAGATGGAGATCGGGGACTCGACCGGGTCGTTGAGGAGCTCCGGATCGAATTTGTAGATTATGGTGTCGCCGCGGGAGTCGAGGTAGCGGTAGACTTCGTGGGCTGTCATTGTACGGGATGAGGCAGTGGCGCGCGGGTGTAGAGCGGGTTTTGGTGTGACAATTAGCCGTTCGTCTTCGTGGCGGGTTGAGGGTCAGGCGCTGGTGCGTAGCTGTAGTGGCGAAGTAGCGGGAGGTCGGCAAAGTAAATACCTGGGCGATTGCTTGAAAAGTTTGCTGACCGGCCTGAGTCAAGCAATGGAAAAACCCGGTTGTGGATTGCTTCGGTATAGCAAGCTCGAATCCCTTTCACTGCCTTGCGTACTAAAGACAACCAGGCGCTGTCCTTAAGTGCAAGGCCGCGGCTTTCGGTGTTGGTGAAAGGTTATTTGCCCGCACCGAACGTGTCGCCAGGAAGGAAGAGCGGGCTACCGCACTGTTTCAAAACAATGAAAGGCGGAAAACCGTCCGAGTGAAAGGTCTGCGCGTGGCTGCCTATACCTTGATGGCGTCAAGGTTCCCGATTCAGTCGCCGCGCAAAGCAACCCCAAGTCCACACAACCCTAAAAAAAAGAGACAAATGTTTGACGAAGCAAGTGATTCAGTTGCGATGAGCAGTTTGGTTCGAGCAATGGCCAGCCTCCGCAAAGAATCGCCGTCGACGAACGTGGCACTCGAACATCCGGCGTTGCTCCGCCTGGATCCTCGCATCCTCACAACCATCTTCGAGCATGTATTTCGACTCGCCGGTCCCAATAAACGCGCCTATCTCTATCTTCACGATCTCTTGGCTCCCCACCCTCTCGCGTACGTTTGCAGGCAATTTGCAGAAGAATGCCGGGCCTTGTATGGCACTGTTCCTCTCCACATTAGTCCGGCATTGGGCGCCATTGCGGATACCGAGACTCTCGAATGCTGTCATGGTATGCGAATAGTCTATGGAGACAAGGTGCCAGACCTGAGCATATCGGTAAGAGTGGTCCAGCATGTTGAATGGCGAAGCCCGGGCGAGCTATTGGAGAGCATTGTTCGTATGCCAGGGATCCATGCCGCTAGCCAACTCTTAGTTCCGCGCATCCAGGGCGGGACCGTGGCTTCAATGTCTGTCATTACTCCAACCACTCTCGCACGGAAGCTCGCAAAACTCAACATCCACCCCCACGCCCGCTCCAAATACATCGCCAACTTCGCGCCGATACACCACGCAAACCTGTTCGGATGGTTGAAGCTCGCAAAGATCGGGGTCGACAATGTAACGATCCGTATCTTGGGCTGCGGCTTCTGGATGGATCGGTATCCGTTCGCCTTTACCATAGGCTACTACCGGGCGCTTCCTCTTGTAGCGCTCCTCGCGTCCATCATCGCCACCAAGCCACACTGGATCAAGAAGATAACCCTTGCTGGAGTAGGCGCTTTCCAGAACATCCTGCAAGAGATGTGGGCACAGATCCCGAATCGAACGCCGATAACCGGGGTAAACCCCTTTCTCGACCTCCTCGTAAAGTATCCGTTTGCAGACGAATTCGACGGGATAAAGGAGATGTACTTCGACGGAGGCGGGAGTCCCATAATGCGGAAGCGGGAGGGAAACTTGTTCGGATTGAGAAGTTCGATGCAGTGGCAGGCCATGATCATGCGGGCTAGACACGATAGAAACCAGCCGGAGTGGAAGTTTACCGAGAATGGTTGGGGCCGGTACAAGTGGTCTTGAGGCTGAGAGGCTCGAGTATTACGGCGTCAACTTAACAAAAGGTGGTCAACATACCGGTGTTATGGCTGGTGGGATGATAAATGGGACGAGAACATGGAGGAGGTAGAGGAGCATTGAACGACTCCGAATGGTACTTGTACAGCCATTGAAGTATGATTAGCATATCCTGGACACGAACACGACCTCTGTATCTCTTGTTATTAGTATCGTAACAGGGACTTCGACGAGAAAGGCATGCCGGAGGTTCGTTAACCTACCACTACCCATTACTCTGCTGTAGCTTTTCCCCCTTGTGATAATGATACCCGGTGAAATCGTCTCCAAAATCCCATTCATACACGCCATAAACTTCCATAACCCCTCTAAAACCCTCTCTTCTCATTCTCCACCCTTCCCTGCCTCCGCCAATTCCACCAGCCTACTAAGAACCACATCCTGGCTCAAAATTTCTCTTGGTCCCGTTCTCAGGTCTCAGCTACCTGTTATCTTGCTGCTTCAACACATAGTCTGCAGGAGAATGCACCTGGTTTCGCTAGATGTCGCTTTATGTTGAACCTTGCGTCAGTGTTCGCTGCGGTCGCTATAGATGCGCTGCGACCCGCTACGCTCGCAGTAGCGTTCGCTGTACTCGCTATCATGCTCGCTATAGATTCGCTGCGGCTCGCTATGCTCTCGCTGCCCTCGCCATAGGTTCGCTGCCCTCGCTGCGACCCGCTGCGACTCGCTACAGATTCGCTGCGGCTCGCTACAGCCTCGCCGTCCTCGCCACGGATTCAGCCAAGCAATCGCGGGTCGTCGTCGAGCGCGTACGCGGGTAGGACAAGGCCATTAAACCAACACGGCAAGCCCTCACGGAGGTCAGAGAGCGCAGTGGGAAGGTCAATGGAACCACTGGCGGAGGTTAGCTTATGCCACAACACTACACTACGCTCTCCCCAGAACCTTAGCATCGCGGGAGGATAGAACTACGCTTTCCATCACTCTATGCGTTGGCAACACTTCTCTCCGACCCAAACGCGAGCATCGCCAGATACAAAACATCGTCCCAGGAGAAGAAAGGAAAGGTAACGGAGATGAGAAAGCTCCACGAAAATCCGTAGACCTCTCGTCTCCGCCCTTCTTGCTTGTCTCGATGAACTGAGGGACTAAATCTATAGGTATAGTAACGTTGAGTCTGGAGGAAGGATGCAATGACGTTGAAGTAAGCACCGCGCACGCAAAAGCGGAGGTGGCTAGTGCGGAACCCAGCCACGCGCGGTTGAGGGGTCCGGTTGAACCCATTGTACAATGCTGCGAGTTTTAGCATGTCACCGGGTTGGTGAGTTCAAGAACACGGCTTTGAACGAGAACCTGATATAGCTAGATACCTAGCTCCGAACGAACCGTTGAATGCTTCAGATCTGGGCACTGTACACCCTATCATACACAACTCCCTCCGGCCTATGCGCTATCGCACAATAAAACACAAGTACACCGCTTTTGACCAATGCCTCCCGTCCAGAGCCCAAGATCCCATCATAGCCTCATCACGGAAACCGCGCCTCAAACTCCGTAGAGTCCATCCCCCAGATCTCGATATGCCTAACCGCCTCCCACCCCACCCTCTCAAGCCTCCTAACCGGCCCCACCCTCCTTGCAATCATTGAATTCTCCTGCCCCGGCGGCAAATTCTCCTTCCCCTTGGGCGGATACACAACGTCTCCTAGCCGAAACACAAACTTGTCTCCAAAGCCAAAGTACCTCAGATTCTTGTACTCGGGCCGCCAGAGCTCGGTGCCCAGCGCGAACTGGTGCATCTCCATGTCAATGCTTTCGAACTTCTCGGCGAGTTCCGAGTTCGGGCGCATGAGGAAGCGGATGGCGTAGAGCTTGGGGAGGAGGGCAATGATCTGGCGGAGCGATTCGAGGGGCGGGACGGCCCAGGCGCAACCCAGCTGTTCGAGATGCGGACAGGTTTGGCAGATTTTGTACACGGTGTCGTCGCTGAGCCGCCATTGGTCCGAGAGGAGGAGGTGGCGCATCGTGCGGTGGTTGGACTGGATGACGGCGAGGTAGTCACCTGCGAGGCTCTTGCACTGATGTTCTGTGACCGGAGTGCCGTTTGCGCTGCTGCCGTTGCCGTTCGTGGCCGGTGTAGTACTCGCGGACGGCGTTATCGGCGTAACCGCTGTGCTGCTCGGCTTCGAGCTTCTGGACCTGCTGATGAGGTACAGGCGCTCGAGCCCTCGAAATCTGGCCAGCATGGTAACGTGTTCTTTATCCGTCTGATCGCATCGCATCATCTTTAGGTTGTGAGGTATAGGGTGATTGGCGTTTACCCTCCACGTGTCGTCTAGGAAGACTGTCATCGGGTCTGAAGAGCCCATGCAGTTGATGATGGTGATTTCTTCTATCACGGAATGATCCGAGACGTGCTCAAAGCCCTCCCCCTGGTTGCGCGTATATAGGTTGTACAAGGCCATGCGTCTTAAGGGTATGGTGTGTTTGGCGGTAAGACAGCGGCCGAAGTAGTTGAGGAGGTTGACGGACTCTTCAGCATTCTCTCGCATGCGCGGACTCCAGTGCAGTTTTAGGTTCTCGAGCTTCTTTGAGGCGAGCAGCAGCAGCGATATGTTGTCGGGATAGCACAGTGGGTCTATGTCGTAGACTATGAGAGTTTGGAGGTTCGGAAGGGGCGGTATTACTGTCGTGGGTCGCGGTATTCGTCTCGCCGGACAGCGGAGCGTGAGCGAGGTCAGCGACGGCTTGTGCATGAGTCCTTCGTAGACGGTCTGTAATGGCTTAGTGTTCAGCTCCCAGCTGCGAGCGTCAGCATTCTCCTATGCGCAAACTATGGTGTCCCAACATACGCGAAAGCCCTGAGGTTCTTCATCCGGTCCATGGCCGCGCGTATGGCTATCTGCAGCATCATGCTGTTGTCCGGCACCCTGCCCTTGGAGTAGTCGTCCACGTCGTGCTCCCGCCAGTCGCCGATCACCCTGAACATCTGCACGTATTCCGCGAACGTCCGCGACACGAGGGTATTGAGCCCCATGGCGAAGGGGCTCCCATTGCCGTAGCCCTCCGGCCTGCCGTCGACATAGCGTATTTCGGAATAAGAGCGCAGCGTAACCTCTTCGTAGAGCCGCGGCAGGGCCATGTAGTAGAAGAGGCGCGAGGTGCGCGTGATACGCGCGAGGTCGCCGGCATCGTCGAGCTGTAGGCGCAATCAGCCGCGTTCTCGAATGAGGTCATCGGCCAAATATGGGCAATGGGTCGCGCGACGGCACGTACGTATTCGAGTATTAATTGGATCAAATGCAGCGGGAGCTCCTTCCCCTGTCCGTAATTCGAATGCGACCGCGCTGGACTCGTGAACCAGCTGTGATGGGGCGCCGTGATGGGTCCGCGAGCGTTGAGCGGGATGGTGGGTTTTGGGGTCGCGGCTGTGGAGGCCCGCGTGCGGCGGGGCGTGGGCGCGTCTGGCATCGAAGACGGGTAATAAGGGCAGTGACTTGCTTCAAGGCGCGCCGGCTGCTACGCCATGTCGTAGAGTGTTTCGAAGGGATGCGAAGCGCAGGCATCGAGCCTCGAATTCTTGCAGCCTTCGCATGCGTCAAATGCCCGAAGCTCCGCTCCGATGCACTCTCCGCCGCATTTGTCCGCCCTAGATCTGCACATGGTTCTTGCGGCGCCATCCTGCATCAAGCCTAGCCGTTCCGCACCATCACATGCTATACGCGCTATACGAGTACGTCCTCCCGTGCAAAACCAACGCGTTGTATCCAACTGCCAGGCGTCCTTTATCGGCTACCGCAATCTACTCTACCCCTTGGAGAACCAAGGCTCCCGTCCCTCATACTTCTCCCCTGGGTACTGAAACGGGACCTCCACTGTGCCCTCAAACACACTCATCGGAGGCACTTCATCATCAGCTAGTTTGACCTTCTCCAACGCCTCGTCAGGAACCGGCACAATGACACCGCATTCCCAATTCCTGATATTCAAACTTTCTTTGCCGTTTTTCAATATCTTCGGCGCACCCCACGCGGACTCAGAGATATTTGCGGACCCAATATAGGCCCACGCGAAGGGCTTCCCGTCGTTTTTGCGACCTCGCGCGAGGAGCAGTTTGTTGTGGGACAACACGCCTTTGCGCGTCGAGACGTAATCGCGCATGCACTGCTTGGGGAAACCAGGGCTGTCATAGTGCGCCCTCGCTAGAGTGATGATTCCACCGCAGCGAGCTCCGCCGGTGCTGTTGACGACTGTCTCCTTAGTCGGGAAGTATATTCGAAAGCGATCGAGAAAGTCGGCCGGCGCTTTATCCTCCGATAGCGGCGAGATCCCACAGGCAGCGAGGTATATTTGTTTCAGGAACGGCTCCTTCAGTGCGCCCAAGGATGATGCTGCGTAGTCTATTTCAAGCGTCTTGACTTGATCGAGCCCCAGCTCGTGAATACCCAGTGCAAGGCCAGGCAGGCCCGTTCGATGGCGATTCGGATCTTTGCCGGAATGATTGCCACCGCTATGTACGCGTCAGAGGTGTACGTCTGAGTAAATGATACCAGACTTACATAGAATGGACAAACCTTAAATGCTTCGTCTCAGAAAAGTTGTGCTTCAGCAGCCCCTCCAGCACGTTCCGGCCAAGCTCTTGAGAAGTCAGGAAATACACAAGCTCCTTTCCAAACGCCGTCTCTGCTTCCTCGGCTGGCTTCCCGTCCGGGCGGCGCGGTAGGTCGATCAAGAAAACGGTGTTCTCCATGACCGCAGGCTGCCACGACTCTCCCGTCCTCGGATCTTTGTTCGTCTCTCCCCAGTCCACGGCAATCATGTTCGCAGTCGGTATCACGATCCGTAAGTAGTCTTTGTGGAACAGCAGCATCAACTTGCTGTGCATATTCATGATCTGGCCGTTCATAGGCGGGAAGTGCTGTTTGAAATTCGGGATTCCACATGCAACGGCCTCGCGCCGCATTTTACTCTGGACATCTTCTCCCTTGGCACTCATGATCCAGATCTGCTTCGTGATCTCGGGAGTCATTTTGTCGAAGAGCCAGTTGTCCTCCCACTGGAAAGCGCTCAAGACCGCGATATTGACGGTAGATGCTTGAAGGACTTCCTCGATCTTGATATCGTCTGTTCGTGGGTGTTTGAACGCCCATGTTCGCTTCACTGTCCCCTTGGGATATTTCAAATTGGGACCGTTGCACGATGTCCGGCTCTTCTCGTCCGCATTCGACACACCCGGTGTTTTAGTGATGAGTTTAGAAGGTCGCTCTGGGGATGCGCTGCGTTTCCGCTTGCCTAGCCTTGCGAGCCGCTCTTCCTCCATGGCCTTTCGATCTAGGCCGAACAGCCCAGACGGCTTAGAGGATGCTGAAGTGCTTGATGCGTTTTCTGTCCTGCATTGGGTGCGCTTGTTTTGTTGAGAGGCCTCCGCAAAAGCGTACTCTGGGGGGTGAGAGACGGTAGCTTCGAGCGTCCCGGGATCTGCGTTGCTATCTTGTAGTGAGAGAGCGATCGCATGCCGCATCTCCTCATCTTCGTCGTCCGACGCGAGTTTGGCGACGTTGGCAATCGGAGAACTAGCCTCTGCAAGAGACATCGCGATCGCCCGTTTAAGATCGTCATCGTCATCGGAGGGTGCCATGGTGGCAGCGTCATCCCTTATTGGATTTAGTCGTGTTGTGTCTTTAAGGGGAACGGGCGCGGTTAAGCTTGACATCGCTTGGGCGCGCCCGATTTCGCGTCCGCACGTGGGTCGTGCATGTATCTAAGCCTAATTAGGCCTAGTCACGTTATGGGCCACAGAATGCGAGCCGAGCTCAATCGCTCGACGACGTCAGAAGGTTGCGTTTAACAAGAGATCTAAGGCTCGGCTGTAGTATGATGCTGCTACAATTGCAGACTGCGACAGCTTAACGTGGTTCTATTTCGTTCTCACCTTCCCACGGACCGCCCCGTGTCGCCACGAGCTCCGGTCCGGGAACGGAGCAATACGTGCACAGGAGATCCGGGGGAGCTTTACAATAGGCCAGGATGTCCAGACTGACAAATTGCGCTCTTTCTTCTCATGCTGTCCATATCTATCCGCCATGAAGTGTGGAAACGAACAAGATATTATCGCCCTCTTGAATCTCGTACTTGTCTTCGCCTTCAAGCTCCCAGTCTGCTTCATTGATGAGTACTAAGATCCCAGGTCGTCTAGTGCAACCGTCAGTAACCACCTTCTCGCGCTCAAATCTCGACGTTTTCATACACAGTGCCATCGAGAACGAATAACTCCTTTCGCGGATCCTTCATGACTTTGTCGCAGAGATGCCTGACCAAGTACGCTATGTTCGAGCCATTTCCGGTCTCATCCTTGGCGGGTATGGCAAGCGAAAGTTTCCGTTCGTTCGAGAATAGCATTTCCAGCCCTCCACTATCCGCAGTCAGCGCCTGTCAGCGTTCGTTACGTGTCTTCCCCGCACCTACCTAAACTCCACGGTTATCGGGATGGTCCCGTCATCGTTCGTCTTTGACATCGTTAGGAGGAACCGGGCTGTAAGTCGGGGGCGAAGGCTGAATTTCAGAGGTTGGGATCTCGCGCTAGTCCGTTTATGTACTAATAGGCGAGACTAGCGTAGAGAAATCCTCGACATCGATGACCACCCTCCATCGACCAACAATCTCCCGTTCCCCGAGAGAATGGATATCTCGCCCGAGTTTATTTCAATAGGTGGTAACCGGAACCCTGCAGCGGCTGACTGGGACCCCCACGGCTCACGGCTGCTGGCTTTTGGGGCAGACAATTGCATCGCGCTGTGGGATCCTCTGGTAGGCATCGTTCTGGGCAACACAACTTCTCTACCGCTAATGCGTAGCAGGACGATAGGCTACGCGGGGTTCGATCGATACTGAACGGGCACACTAATGTCGTAAATGCTGTCAAATTTTTCCCAACTGGATCTTCAAATGTTTCGGTACTGCTCAGCGGTGCCGCCGACCACTCCATTCGCATATGGCATGGACGACGAGATTCAGGCACCGGTTTTGAGCTCGTAAAGACTCTCCACGATCATCAGAGTCCTATTACTCGGATAGCGGCGCTAGCAGGTTCGGATGTCTTCGCTACCGGGGCGTCGGACGGCACCGTCAAGATTTGGAGGCTTGTTCACGATGCAGATTTCTCATCCATCGATGCTGAGCTTCTGCAGTCCATTACTTTATCCCCGCGGTATTTCCCATTGACTATCGCACTGGCGACTCTGGACGAATCCTCCATTATCCTGGCCGTTGCTGGTACGCGCAGCACTATTCAGATTTTCGTTTCTCATGATACCCAATTTCAACTTGCAGCAACCCTCACTGGACACGAGGGATGGATCCGAGCGTTAGACTTTACACGGGAGACTTCAGGCGAAAGCAGCGACCTCCTGCTTGCATCAGCGAGCCAAGACAAATATCTCCGGCTATGGCGTGTGCACCGAGGGGAGGAGCTCCCAGCCGTGAGCAGTGCACTCAATGATCCGGCTTTGGGTATTTTGGGCAAATCATTGTCAAACAAAGCGCATCGGATTGCTTCCGCAACGTCAAAGTATTCTATCACTTTCGAAGCCTTGCTCTTGGGCCATGAAGACTGGATATACACGGCTTCATGGCGACACAAAGCGGGAAAGCTCCAACTGCTATCGACCTCCGAGGATAACTCTCTCGCTATTTGGGAAGCGGACCCGGCGTCCGGTGTATGGGTCTGCACCACCAGGCTAGGCGAGATCAGCGCACAGAAGGGATCGACGAGTGCCACCGGAAGCGCGGGAGGATTCTGGATCGGGTTGTGGTCGCCGGATGGTAGCTCGGTCGTTTCGCTAGGTCGGACAGGCAGCTGGAGAAAGTGGACATATTCCACATTGGAAGACATGTGGGCCCAACAGGTTGCGATCACGGGCCACGTTCGGGAAGTTAAAGGGCTGTGCTGGTCAAGAGACGGGACCTATCTACTCTCCACTGGCTCGGACCAGACGACGAGATTGTTTTCCCAGTGGAAGCGCGACGAAGTCTCGTCATGGCACGAGTTCTCTCGACCTCAGATCCACGGCTATGACCTGAATTGCGTCGACAGTATTACCAACCTCCAGTTCATTTCCGGAGCAGACGAGAAGCTCCTCCGCGTTTTCGACGAACCGAAGGGCGTCTCCGAGATGCTAAGTCGGTTATGCAAGATCCAGGCGACGAGCGCCGAGCTTCCCGATGCCGCCAACATCCCGGTCCTTGGTCTGTCGAATAAAGCAATACATAGTATAGGCGACGATCAAGCCGTCGAGAACGGAGAAATGGATGAACGGGAAGCCGTCGACCCGGCGTCCATTGTACGAAAATCGACCCTTGACTTCGACCATCCCCCGTTCGAAGACCATCTCGCTCGACACCTCCTATGGCCGGAAACGGAGAAGCTATATGGCCATGGCTACGAAATCTCATCAGTGGCTGTTAGTAACGACGGGAGTCTGGTAGCGACGGCTTGTCGAGCAAGCTCCATCGACCACGCCGTCATTCGTCTCTACGACACCAAGGAGTGGCTCGAGCTCAAGCCACCTCTGAAGGCTCACTCTCTGACCGTCACGGCCCTTGAGTTCTCGCACGACGACAAATATCTTCTTAGCGTAGGGCGAGACCGCCAATGGGTGGTCTGGGAACGGAATGCGGAGACAACGTACGCACTGAAGCACTCGAATCCGAAGGGCCACACCCGCATGATTCTCGATGCCTCATGGGCGCCCACGGAACAGCCTACATTCTTAACTGCTGGGAGAGACAAGAACGTCAAGATATGGCAGATCGGTGAAGGAGAAGTTCAGCTGAAAGGAGCAGTGTCTGCGACAGCAGCTGTGACCGCCGTGGCGTGTAGCCGCGATATCTTGCAAGGCCGGCTTCAGTTCGCCTTTGGCACCGAACACGGCGAGATTGGTATTGGCACTGCATCGCCGGGAGAGCTAGACAAGGTGTCAGTCACCATGATCAGCGCGGCTCTTTCGTCTGCGAAGACCATCAATGAGATTGCATGGAGGTCTGGGAAGGTCGAGCCGAGACGTCAGATCGCGGTGGCGAGCGATGATTCCTCGGTCCGCATATTCAACATTTCAGAAGCTCGCTGAGGGCGACACTAGTATCGACGGGCAAGACAAATCCAAGTGAATTATGCAACCTTCGCGCACGCTTTCACATAAGTCTGGATGTTTGGATCGTTCATCACGCAGGTTAACCATCGACACATTTGACACAGCCACATATATCCCCTAAGTCGTCCCGACAACAGCGAGACTATTGGCACGTCTTAAAATGTTGAGGATAAGTTGCCAAAAAGTGAAATTTACATTTTCACATGCGAGTCTTCGAGAAAGATATTCATCACGGCTTTCACCATCTTTTCTCCTTCTCCACACCACAAACCAACGCTCACAAACACTTTCAACATTCACAAGTCCCTTCCCACATCCTACACAGCTCTCTCTCACGCCGCCTCTATCCCGCACCGCAACCATTCCCCCACGATGCCAGCACCGTCCCGACCAACTCCGAAGTTCTCCTCACCCCAAACCGTCCTCCGCCAAACCCGCGGGAAATTCCTCCCCCTCGCACTAGCAGGCTCCGGCTCCAGCGCAGACGTCTGGTTCTGCACTACTTCCTCTCCCAACCCTCTCACCTCCCCGCCCACCCAACTCTACGCCCTCAAACTCCCCTCCCGCACGAAGCAAGACCGCCTAACCCGCGAACTCCGCGCTCTCCGCCTCATCGCCTCGACCGCCAGTCCCCTCTCACCCCACTTCCCCCGCGTCCTCGCGGCAGACCACCCGCCCGCGCCCTTTGCCGAATGCCGCTGGCTCGCGACCCGCGCCGTGCTCGGCTGCACGCTGCACGCCCTGCTCTCCGCATCGAAGCCGCACCCGCTACCCAGACACCTCGTGCTGCACATCGCGCTGCAGCTCAGCGCCGCGCTGTCTTATCTGCACAGCATGACTCCGCCGCTGCTCCACGGCGACCTGTTCGAAGGAAACGTCATGCTCGACATGACGTGGCAGCGAAGAAACGACCAAGGCTTTCCGCACGTCGTTATTATCGACTTCGGCGCCGCGCGCTTCGACGACGACGGCGTGGATGCGCGCGCGTTGGCGTGGGAGCGGACGTGCGTGTACCGGTTGGCGGCGCGGCTGGCGCTGTTCCGACGGGGGAGCGCGGGAAGAAGGACGGAGGAAGAGGGGAGGAGATGCGGCTGGTGGTGGGAATTCGTGCGTGTTGTGGCGGAGCCGCGGGCGGATTCGGGGCCTGGGGAGGTAATGGGGCTCGATGCGTTTTGTGAGCGGTTTGCGGGGGCTGAGGGCGTGCTCGCTGGGGGATCGCGTGGCGTGGGGGTGAGTAGGGCGAGAGGTTGAGGAGGCGATGAGGAAGGCCTCCGTGAATACCTTAGGGGGCTAATAGTTTTTTTGTGAGATGAGTTTGAGACCATTAGCACGATCTTGAAGTTCGTCGGATAGTCGAAGACATGCCGTCCAATAACCAAGGGATGTAATGCCAATGTCTGGGAGTATTTTCCGTCACGGTACAACCTCATAGGAACTCAACACAAGTAATTGTTGATTAAAATTCCAGTAACTCTAATAACTCTAGAAGCTTCCGTAGCTTTAACGGACTAATATAAGCTCGTAAGATTATCATACTGCTCATGTAAGTATGAATCTATTACTCCCATTAGCGTATAACAACCGTAAAAACCAAATTACAAAGAACTTACACTTGCAGCCCCATCTCCTTCTGGACTTCTCTCCAGTCGTACTTCCGCCCATCTTCTCTCTGCTTCCTCCACAGCGCCTCTAGCAACACTACCCCGTTATCTGCATGCTGCATCTCGCATCAGCTCCGCATCCACGGCTCAGCCAAATCGCGGCAGGGGGGCTCACATAGATAGTGATATTCCTGCGACTAGTCATCTTCCCTCGGATCAAGTCCTCGCTATCCGGGTCGTCAAAGATAGCCACGCCAGTCATAAACAGCCCAAAGAACAAGCCCATCTCCAGGCCATGGCCCTCGGGCGTCTCGCGCACAATGTCGAGAATGACTTTGATGGCATCGGCGACTTCCTGCTCCTGCGGGTGCCGGCCCAGCGGATCGACGATGTGGTGCAGGTAGATGATGCAGCCGTTCACGACGCTCCGGGTGCTGCTGAAGCTCTCCTCCTCCAGCTTCTGGGCCACGGTGAGCGGGCGCGCGCGCGGCATCGTGCGCCAGCTGTTGGACTGGTGGCGGATTTCGGGCGGGCGTGCGTCCCACCACGTCAGCAGCTCGGTGTGGATGTCGTCGGCTAGGTGGCGGATCATGTCGGGGTCGTTTTTCCCCGCCGCGGTCATGGAGAGTTTGCTTAAGTTCGACAGCTGCGCCATGTATGCCATTAGTGCGTGGAAGTTGTCTACCATGACGCCGTCGTCGTAATAGGGCCAGTTTCTCGGCGCGGAAGAGCCGGACGAGCTGGACTCTAGCCAGTAGTTTCCGGGGATCAGCGTCCCCTGGCTGGTGAGGAGGGAGGCGGATACGTCGAGCAGGGAGAAGAAGCGAACGAGGAAGTTCTGGTCCAGCGGTCCGCCGCGGTAGAGAATGAGGTCGCGGGCACCTTGTAGGTGGCGCAACCAGAGGCTTTCATCTGAGTGAGATATCTGCTCCACTCATCAGCTTCAGTGCTACGAATTCTTGTAACTGTGGTGATGAGAAACGAGGACTTGTACGGGCTGGAGGAAACACAAACCTCGTAAACGCAAAGGAGTAAACACGCGCCTAGCACCGCATTACTCTTCGCCGCATGCGTGTCGCTCAGGGTATCATTCAGCGCTTTCAACGCCCGTGTATAGTGGCGCATCGCAGCCATGGTATGCCTTGGCTGCCCTCTCGCCATGTGTCCCGCTGCGAGGGCAGCCATGGCGTGATACAAGGCCAGCGACTGCGAAGCCAGCGGCACGAGATCCCGCTGAAACGGGTTCTGTTCGGCGTCATTGGGGTATGTCAAGAACTTGGTACAGAAAGAGATGAAGTGCTTTAAATAGGGGACGGAGAACGTAGTCGCAGCAGGGAATTCAGATATGAACAAGTCGGTCGCGCTGCCAGGGTGCTTGGTCAGGGTGATAGCAAGGGGGCCTATTGACGCTGACGGTGGATGCTGGATCGCCGTCTCTTCCTTCGCGGTGGGGAGCCATGCGCATCTCAGGAACAGGCGCACGCAGCGCGCACAGTGCGGCTTCTCCTCGTCGCACTTGACTTTGCGCTTGCGACAGGGCACACAGCCTGCGCGGCGTTAGCATACCTAGGCTGGGTAGAGTCGCGATCCCACTCTGGCCTTACCCGTCTTTGACCGCGTCGACGGCGGCTTCACGCCTAATCGCGGCGGCATCGCGGCGACATCAATGCATCCGGCGGGCAGCTGGAAGGTCCGAGAAGGAGTGGGGATGGGATGGGGATTGATGAGATGATGCGGGTCTGCTCGACGGGCGGGGGCCGCGGCCCGGGCTAGTTCCAGCACGCGGTCGATCACTCGGCGGGCGCGTCCGCGCTGTCGTGATTGGACGGGCAGGAGGACGCCCGCGCTTGGGCCTGTTTCTCGCCGACGCCACATACCGCCGTCGTACCGCCGACGGCGCTAGCGTCACGTTTCGCTCGGGATAGCGGTCACTTCAGAGAAGTATCAGACTGGTTTCTATTATCGCAGAAAGGCGGCTGCATTTACAGTATCAAATTGGCTGGCTCATATCCGCCAGAGCGTCCCTCGCGCCCTCCCAGCTCCCAAGTCAAACGTCCTTCTCGTCCTCATAGACCTTCCGCAAACCAGTCTTCTCCTTCTCCAAGTACGTCTTGCACTCCAGCCGGCTCTTCTCCACGCTGATAAAGAAAATGGCGACAGTCGGCACCAGGATAAGAGCGGCGACAAACGGGAAGGGCGTCCAGGCGTTGCCGCTCGAGTCGACAATGGCACTACTCACGATCGGGCCTATCCAGGCACTGCCCTTGGAGACAATGCCCAGAAGACTGAAGAACATGTACTCGCGCCCACGCGGGACAAGCTCGGCCATAAAGGCCTGCCCGTACGAAAACTGCGTCCCGAGCGTGAATCCGTACTGCGCGTTGAAGAGCCAGAACTCCCAGAGGTTGTGGTACCCGACCTTGGTCGTCCAGATGCCGATCATGCCCCACAAGGCGACGAGTGTGCAGCCAATGTTTGCAGCTTGCAGCATGGTCTTTGTCTTGAAGCCGAATAGTTTCTGGACGTAATACGCGCCGAAGACGCCAACAGCCGCCGATCCCCCTTGCACGATGATCAGGTATGTGTTCTGGGTGGCCGAGAACTCGACGACCGAAGTCTGCGCGATGGCAACGAGCGTGAGGGTGGTGGAGATGCCGTCGGCGAGGAGGAAATAGGCGACGAGGTAGAAGAACGTCTGCTTGAGGGTCCACGCTTGCTTGGCCGCGAACCACGCCTGCTTGGCACCGAGGGTGAGGTAGTTCTCGCCCGGAGGAAGCGGTGGACCCGGCCGCCTCTTCTCCCACAAGAACCACGGGATGGCAAGGACAATCCAAAAGCCCGTGCACACGGCCACCGACACCGAGTATCCCCAGTTGTTCTGCGCCGCGGAGTCGTTGGCATGCAGACCGAAGAGCGCAGCGAGCGACAAGGCAGCCGAGATGGTGAAGCCGACGTTGTTCCAGCCATACGACATGTTCATGACCTTGGATCGGGCCATGGAGCAGCGGCGCTCGTACTCGTCTTCGGAGATGGACCCGGCGGAGAACTCTGCGTAGGCGGTGCGCACCTCTGGGAGGTCGTGGGACAGCTTCGGGAATATGGCGTTGAAGAAGACGTACGAAGACCAGAAGGTGATGGCTGACAGGATATACAGGGCCATGGCCGTCCGCCACTGGTCAGCCCTCTTCACGCCCAGGAAGCCAAACTCAAAGGCCCATGACAGCACAGAAAAGGTGCGCACAACCCATGGGTTCCAGTTGCCGTAGTCGGCCATGCTGCCCACGCTGATGAAGACCAGGGCCTGGCACAGAAAGGTCAGACCAGACGCGATGAGCACGACCGAGGAGTACTCCTTGGTGCCGCCGTTCCAGAAGACGTGGCACGGCGCGGTAGGGTCGACATCGCAGGTCTGGCTGCCTAGCGGCTTGACGTTGGGGTCGAAGCCCGCCTGGTAGATGAGATTCTGGAAGAGCAGGTTGGAGCTGTTGAGGCTTAGCGCGACGTGCAAGCTAGGGGCCACCCAAACGTACTACTGGAACGAGCCGATGCCATTGTTGCCAGCGTAGTAGGCGTAGTAGGAATATAGCTCCTTGGTGGTCGCCGCGGGGTCGTTCGGGCCGGGATGGGCCTGGCCGCCGGCGTCAGCGGGCTCTGGCGTGGCAATGGACGTGAATGCCGCCAGCTTTTCTGCAGGGCCTGGCGCCTGGTCTGGTGCAAAGGTGTCCGTCATGATGGGCAGGCCGTCGACGATAATCCAGCAATGCGACGCGCTGGAGAGGCCGCGCACGACAATGGAGAGCAGGCAGGCCCGGGGCGGCCACGGCCATGATATGTGCCAGTCCTCTCCCTTCCCCAAGCTCGGCTTGCTAGCGCGATGTAGGGAGTTCTCTAAAAGGCCAGCGGCTGGGACGTGCCGCTTCCGCTAGTCATCCGAGGCTTTGGGGAGACCGGGGTCGCCAGCGACAGGGATCGCTTAGATAACCATCTCCGCGCCATCTCCGAGCCCGAGTAAGGCGCTCTCCTCCGTCAGCGCTGGCCGGCTGCAAGCACCCGTCGCAACCATTCAGCCTCGCCTCTCGTGATGGGCCACGAGAGACCGTCTAGCAAAAGCACCTAGGCCTACGAACTGCCGCGGATGTCGTCAGCCATGCGGATCCGGGGAAAAGGCTGCCGAAACCGGCCGATATGTGCGCCCAAATACAGCCTGATCCTGCTGCTCCTCAAAGAGGCTCGCCTAGGGAGATATGGTGCTTCCCGGGAACCACGCCATCGGTGTTGACGTTGGGGGAACAAATACAGATGCGAGTACTCCACATCGTTGCCCAACGCCCCTGAGACTCATGACTGCAGGCCGTCATTCTCCACAACCAACGCGTGCTCGCATCGCACAAGACCCCGACTACACCCGACATCCAGACCGGCGTTGAGCTTTCCATCTGCCAGGTCATCAACAAGGCCGCCATTCCACGGTCAAGCATCAACTCTGTGAAGATCGGCACCACCCAGTTCGTCAACGCTGTCCTCGAGCAAGATGCCAGCAAGCTCGACAGAGTTGCCGTCATTCGACTCTGCGGACCCTATTCTCAAGGCTCCCCGCCGTTCGCAGACTTCCCCACCGGTCTGCGCAAACTGGTAGAGGGACACTGCGGTTACGTCGACGGTGGGTACCAAGTGGATGGACGACAGATCTGCCAACTTAACCGCGTCCAGCTGGACCAGCAGGCTGCCATCATTAAGCGCAAGGGGATCAGTGCCGTGGTCGTGGTGGGCATATACTCGCCCTCTGATCCGTCTCAGGAGGATGAGGCTGCATCGTACCTTTCAGCTACCCTCGGCCCGAGCTACGATATCTCTTGCTCGCACCGCGTCGGAAAGCTGGGCTTCCTGGAACGCGAGAATTCTACTATTCTGAACGCGTCGCTTCGCCGCTTTGCTCGCCATGTCATCCGCGGTTTCGAGACCGCCGTCAAGAGCTTGGGGAAATGCAGGCTGTACATTACCCTTAATGACGGGACGCTTTCCGCTTCCGAGGACGCGTCCTCCCTTCCCGTGCGATGCTTCTCTTCGGGACCTACCAACAGTGCAAGGGGCGCTGCCTTTCTCGCAGAGAGCCAGCTACGGAAGGCCAGCGCGGAGGATAGCGAGGTCTTGGTGGTAGATGTCGGCGGCACTACGACCGACATCTGTGCACTCCTAAAAAGTGGCTACCCGAGGCAGTCGGCGGCCTTTGTAAAGATCGCGGGCGTGAGAACCAACTTTACCATCCCGGACGTACACAGCATCGCCCTTGGAGGTGGCTCAATTGTGCGGGAAACAGACGGCCGAACTACTGTAGGACCCGACTCTGTTGGTTATCGGCTGGAACAAGAAGGCCTCTATTTCGGAGGCAGCACCTTTACCGTACGTTTATCTTGTGCTTGCTTTCGAGCACTGCAAGGCAAGATCTGACAGCTGTCTAGACGACGGACCTCATCTTAACGAACGAGCGCACGAAGTCGATCACCCCAGAAACCAGAAAGAATGCCTTTGCCGAGATCAAGAGGGCCATCGAAATTGCTATTGACCAGGTTAAGACTAAAGCCGGAGACGCCACTGTTATTCTTGTGGGCGGAGGCAGCATCATCCTGCCCTCCTCCCTATTAGGTGTCTCTAATCTTGTCCGTCCGAAGCACCTCGACGTCGCCAATGCAGTAGGTGCTGCCATCGGAAAGGTCAGCGGTGCTGTCGACAAGGTTGCCGTTCCGGGTGAGAAAACTATGGACGAGCAGCTGGAAGAAGCTAAGGCATTGGCCATTAAGAGATGTGTCGAGGCTGGCGGTAAGTTAGAGACGGCCGAGATAGTCGATGTTGATGTCATTCCGATATCGTATGTCACTAACGGGGCGACGAGGCTGATGGTCAGGGTCGTCGCGGACTTGAACGAGAGTCAGCAACTTAGCGCAGATTTGAAAGAAGATCCAGGTGGGAGGGACTACATCGAGGGTGAAAACGAACCGGTAGACAGCCCGCACGCGTTCGACATCATGGACAAGCTTCGGATACCGCACGATCAAACAAGCGGCCTCAGCGACACCACGGAGAAAGCTTCAGGGTATAATGTCGATACGCTAATCGACGTCGCAACATACCGTCCAAATCTGAAAGGAGATATATGGTACCTATCCGAGACCGACCTGCAATTCCTTCAAGACGGGACTGGCGTGCTCGGCGTTGGAAGTTGTGGCGAAGCGTACCCCAGCTACATCGCATGCCTTCAGCGTCTGCGCGCCGGCAAGCCCATCACTATTAGACGGCAAGACAGCATTCGCGACGATGCCGTTATTATAGGCGGCGGTTTCATGGGCAGTCCTACCGTCTACCTGGAAAGAATCCCCGGCGAGCATGAGTGAGTAACATTTCAGCTCTTACCAGTCTTCAAGGATAATACTAACGCGAGCAAATCAGGATCACAAACGCCATTCAAGCCGTCCTCCGCGCCACCAACCTCACCACCTTCGACGCCATGATCCCCAACGAAATCGGCGGCATCAACGCCTTCGAAGCCCTCCTTGCCTCCTCCCGCTTCGGTAAACCGACGCTCGACGCAGACGCCGTCGCGCGCGCATACCCCTTCCTCTGGCAAACCGTCCGCTGTCTCAACGGCGTCTCCATCGCTCCATGTGCCGTAGCCGACGGAACAGGTTCCCAAACCGTGCTCCAGGAACAAAATTCATTCCAGCATGCAGAGCATGTGATGCGACAGGCCTGCACAGACCTAGGGAGCCTTGCGGGGCTGTGCGTGAATCCCCTTCGCGGGGACGAAGCGCGCACGCTGCCCAAGAACACGTTCAGCTGGGCGTGGAGCATCGGGCGGAGCATAGCGCTCTCGCGCCACCGCAAGCAAGACCCGGTGCAAAACCTCGTCGCCGAGCACAACGGTTCGCTCCTCTTCGCCGGCAAGATCATCTCCGTCACGCGGCACGTATCGCGCGGCTTCACGCGCGGCAGCACCAGACTACAATCTTTCGCCGATGACGAGCCGTCCGCCTCGCCCTCCTACCTCGCCGTCGAGTTCGAGAACGAGAACCTGTCCGCGGTGCTGCAACGCCCTGGCGCGGAGGATCGCTTGCTGGCTATCTGCCCCGATCTAATCACGTTCTTGGATCGGGCGAATGGTGCGCCGCTAGGCGTGAGCGATTACAAGTACGGTCTTCGGGTCAGTGTGGTTGCGCTGAGGGCGAACCCTGTGTGGACGAGTGAGAAGGGGCTGGCAGTGGGTGGACCGAAGGCTTTTGGGTAAGTTTGTTCCGAGTTATGCTACCTTTGGCAATGTGGAATGGGAAGGCTGACTGGGAGCAGATTAGATATGCCATATGTGCCCGTGGGGAAGAGCGAGTATGAGGCGCCGAAGAGCGTGTGGGAGATTTTTGGAGAGAGTGGGTAGACTTGCGTAGAGCATACAGTCTGGAGTTTACTTAGAAGCGTGCTTTAGAGAGGCATGTATGGGAGTTGAACGTCTGAAGAACGCGAGACAGAAAACTCGTGCGAGGTTTTGATAACAATACAGGAGTGTCCTGCAGATCATTCCATGAGCTCTCTTTCGCAGTTCCTCCAAAGAAGCTCGCAATACCGTCAACCCAAATGAGGAATGCTCGCAGACCACGTTGTCAAAAAGGCTTCCGGCGGGAGAAGATACAAGGTCCGGAAGATTTCGACCAAGACAAAAAGCCTAGCGAGAATGTAGATACAGGCAAGTCCTAATATCCAGCCGAGCCATATCCAGTTCAGGTGCTTCAACTGTATATATGCCACCAGAAAGTCCACTAAATAACTTATAAATAACAAGCTGAACTCAACCACAATCGGCACCATGGTGGTGAGTAGAGCCGAGATCCGCCAAAGTAAACGCTCTGTCGGTCCCGGGAACCTGAAATTCCATGCGAGTAGATGAACTGCACCGAATACGACAGCTCCCAAGCCTGCACCAAGGAGCTGAGGAAAGAAATACCGCCAACGCCGGCCTGAATAATGGAAACAATTGTTCCTAAATCGATATCCTTGACGCATCCATGGCCATATGAGTGGTGATTCTGTCGCAATGGAGACAATTTCCTCCGGAGTTGGATAACGACTAGCATTAACCACACAAGGCACACCGACACCTTGCGGCCTGTCGAAATAAAGTGCCCACGTGATGACCGAGCAGGCAGCGTAGGCCATAGTAGCAACCTCGAGTTGGGACGATGGAAGCCTGCGTATCTTCCGAGCCAGTAAGTTGAATCATTAACCACAGAATCTGCACAATGGATAGACATTTGATGAGACCATCGCTCTTGCTTCGATCCTGGAGCGATTCCTTGCTGATATCCGGAACCCACTCAATTATGCCGCAATCGCGTGCCACACGAAGCTGTCTAGTGTTCAAGGCCCAGATGCTTCCTTGGAGCGTGCCCGCATTCTCCTTCCATTGAGACATTAGATAGGAATTTTTGAAGGTTTTCTCTGTGACAAGATCGAATGCATGGAGCACGGTCCGTGCATTTGTCGCGTCTTCCATCCAGGGGACCGATCCCGCTGACCAAGGAACTACCGTGCAACGCTCCGCCACAGCAGCTAAAAAAGCCTTGCCGTCCGACGTTTTCTTAGTGTCCGGTCCGTAGCGTGTGCGCTCGTCTGCGCCAGGAGGCAAAGGTGTACCCGGCGGAAAATGAAGCTCGATTCCACCCATATTCGCGAAAAGGCAATGCGCCATCGTCCAGGCCGCGTTACCTTCTTTCACTTCTTGGAAGAGCCGAATCGGCCGCAGGGCGCTTCGTGCGGAGATAAGCTCGGCGAAAGCCTTCCCAGTGATGAGTTCAGGAGCAAAGATGGTGAGTAGCATCCACTTTGACTTTTGCCAGACTCTGAGCAGGGACCGACGAAACCTTTCTCCAAAGGTTTGCGACACGATCTGCTGAGGAACGTTGAGGTGTTGTATTGTCCAAGTGCAGAGCAGAATTATGCTTAAACAGCTCCAGACTATCTCGAGAGTACTTCGTATGGTGACTGTGCCAACATAATTTGGGCTACCTGGTGGAAGGGTGCAGTTTGAAATGAACGACTTCATGAAAGTTGCGGGGACGTCAGATCGCATACGAGTAAATAGACTAATGGAGTCTAGTCCTGAGGTTATCATGAAGGAAATTGGGAAGACAATCTTGAAATAATAGTCGAGGCTCCTGACCTCAGCTGATGGGCTGAAATACTGCAGCACGCGCTAAGGAGGCATAGCTGACTACCCAGAGGAACCAATCAATCGAACTAAAATTTGAAATAATAAGAACACTTAACAAGCGGCAGAAACCAAAAATCGCCTCTCCGCCAGGATCTTGACTGCGGGTGGGATGGTTGCCGAGATTATACTACAGAACGAACTCAGAGGACGCGGAAAGACATTGGAGGAGCCAAGCTCGAGGTAGCGCATCTACGTAGACAGCTTCATTGCCGTGGATAGAGGAAGGGAGGGGCATAATCGGATCGATCAGCGACATGTCGATGATGATAGGTAGCTAGGACTTTCCAGTGCGCCTTCTTTCTCGCCTAACAATTCGGCTATCCTTTTTTTGTCGGCGGTCTTATTGATGTACAGAACATGGCGGCCGCTTCCGAAGCAACTCGCACAATATTCCTCATGACCTAGTCTACAGTGCTCGTGGTCCATCTTTCAATCCAGCTGCGTCCAACATCCAACTCCCCTCCCATCCAGCCCATACTCTCTTCATCACACCCTGCTTCTCCAGGTCTTCCTGTAAATGCCTTAGAGCCGCCAATCGAGCACACACTATCCCGTCTTTCTCTTGCTTCACCTCCGCAGTTCCGCCAACAACAAACTCCCAGTTTCCAACATTCCGAGGCGGCAACGCATGTGTGCGAGGAGGGCTGTGGACCGTAACCGGTGCGCGAGCTTGCAGGAATGCAAAGTAGCGACCATCTTTCACATGTTCCCGAACTTCGAGGATCGCGGAAGAGTGCTGCGGATGGTACACACGCGCGGTGTCTGAATCGATTTAGTCGGCGCTCCGTTCCCAGGTCTGACAACTTGCAGCCGCAACTTACTAATGATTCCAATCCTCAACTCTTCGGCAAGGTTTGCAACGCCAACCACCTCCTCCTCAACCGCAGCTCGGTCTATCATCCGCACCGAAATCCGCCTCCCGCCCACCATTCTCCCGTCCAGACCCTTCACTGCTCTTGACGCCTCATCCACCCCCGCCAAGAAGACCTTCGTACGGAACGGGTAAGCGAAGCGCGTCGTATTCGGTAGCGTGAAGCCCGGCGACACATTGTAGTCCCGGAAAATGGCCTGGACATCTTGTCGAGCGAAATTGGGCGGAAAGTTTGAGAGCTCAACTGCGACCCAGTTGATCGCAGCAGCGACAGGCAGGGTCCTAGATGCTGCGGGCTTGGGGATCGCGATGGGCGCCGGGGGCTTTTTGCGCGGCGAGAATTGCTTGATGGTGCGGGTGATGGCCTTCTTGGGGCGGTGAGCGGTGGAGGGCTTCGGGGGTTCTGCGGACGTCATGGTGTTGTGTTGGGGTTGAGAGCGGTTGAAGAATTTTGAGCGCATGGTGGTATGGGAATTTCGATGGAGAAGATGGGAAGCATTGGCGGGAGCGTCTGTTGCTGGGGCAAAAGTACAAGATCTGGCTGGAGCTTTCACTTCTTGTTTGTGTGCGCCTTCTTGAACGAACTGATGTCAGAGGTGAAGAGGGACTAAAGTATCCTTCTCGTAGAGTATTTGCTAGAGTCGCCTTGGATAAGCTGGGCGTCCACAGTGAATGAATCAGCACGTGGCCCGCATCTGATGTCGCCAGTGAACGAATCCGCTTTCAGGCTGCAACTAAGACACTCTTATCCTGTGACTTTGAATACTTAATTTTCAACCTAACAGCATCCAGGGTACGCGTCTATCGGTACCACAAAATTCAGCATCACGTGAATGCTTACCTAAGCATGCGGAATTGAATGAGATGCGTCACCCGCTTTCTTCCACCTCATCCTCAACCACTCAACGCCATTACTCGACATGGCCGGGCGATATATCCCACCACATCTGCGGAACAAGCAAGCCTCTGCGCCTGACGCTGGAGCTCCGAATCCGGGCCAAACTAACCTAGCAGCGACCCGGCGACGCAGCGCTCCGACCTTAGGAAATGAAGGCCTGACGTTGAGAGAAATCCACGCGTATTTCTGGAAAGACGAGGATACACCTGACAGCACTCACAACACGACGCTACACTCTTCGTCCGAGAACCCTAATGGCTTAGCGTGGGTCTTGCTGTTCGCGGGAGCGAATCCGAAATGGGATAGCGATGGCGTCATCTTCGTGAAGAGCAACCTGGACGTGCTTCCTACGATTCAATCGTCTGCTGGAGTACTTCAGAAGAGCGGGAGCGGAGATCGCAGTGTCAAGCCTGAGGACATCTCAGCACATCCGGAAGACTCCCTTTCTCATGTCCGCGATGCGCACACCGAGAGCGACGAAGTCGCAGGCAAGACCGGCAAGGAAGATATTTCTACCAGCTCAGGCCTTTCCTCAGTGACCCCCGCGGAAGGCATCCCAATCGACCATCCTCCCATTGCTGTCTTTTCACAACCACATCGGATGCGCAGCGGTAGATGCTGGAGGTTTGTCGGATGGTACAAGATTTCTCATCTCGAGCTCATTGCTCCGCATTCCGAGGGCTTGGTCCGCATGCTTTCCAAGAAGTGGGAGACTGTCGATAAGTACGGACGCGTCCAGCAGCGACGTAGGGACGCAAAAGGATGGGAGGAGAGCATGGCTCATAAGTGGGCTGTGATTAAGATGGAGAAAGATGTGGAGGCCATGCAAGAGAAAGGGGAGCCCAAGATCGAGAGGATTGAGGAGGATGAAGAGGGGGGTGGTGTGAGCCTCGATGGCCAGGGTAGCGTTGCGAAGAACGTCAACGAGATACTGGCAGAGCTTAGGATCAAGGACCAAGCAAAGTCTGCCTTGGATAGCCAGCGTGAGTAAGGACGCTCCTACTAGTCGGGATGCTAATCCTGTTGCTCCAGATTTGAACAAGTAGAAGAGATCGTGGGCTTTGACTCAACCACTTGTCAAGCTATATCGTGGACTTTCTCGCACAGCCCCGACCAGATACAAGAGGCAATCCATGGTCATCTTAGAAGCAGATGTATGGAGCGATGCGTATGACATAGGATGGCTCGACCAATGGCACTGCGTACAAGCTCTGCCGGCCTGCATGCATAGTTCACGGGACCGACAGAAGGTGGACATGCACCGACCCTTGGACAAGATGGAGATAATATGGGACCACCGCTTACTCCGGGCCGACCCGGGTTATCCCGCTTGATACGCCTGGACCCTTCCCAGCGATGTCTACTCACAATGATGATTATGACCAGAATTTCCACGGGTACCAAGCCGGATAGTGACGTCTTTCCTTTTCGATCTGTTAATACATTACTCGCAATGGTTCTCATCCGTACGCTGAGGACGGGTTGATTGATATGGCAGTACGGCCTAACTCGGTCTCATTCGGAAACCCCTTTCTGGGCGCCTTCAAAAGACGCATGCTAACCTTCTGATTTCCAGTTCAATGATCTTGCACGTGTTCCACAATCTTTGCGGATGCTCGCTCTTCTACTCAATGCCTTCATGGCTTTCGCTTAGTCCGTTTGAAGCTCAACCTTCTTCTCTTCAAACATGCCGTCAGAAAAGGCGGCCATAACTTTATCGCCCACCGTTTCCTTCGCAGGCGCCCAGCCTTCGCTTTCCGCTTTCAACATTAAAGGAATCCACTTCCTAACCGCCTCCTCCAGGCTCGAAAATCCGTTCTCCTTCCCCATTCTCTTCAACAGCTCGACTGACCTCGTGTTATCCACCGTACCGCAGTCCAAAACCTCCTCAGGATCGTCCGCGAACTTCCTCTCGGGCAAGGACTTCCTGAATATCTCCAGGATCTCTTTGTAGCAAAATGGCCCAGCAAACGCGAAGAGGCGCTCATTCTGCACGTCTGGCTGCGTAAGGACGGCTATATGCAGCAAAGCCGAATCCTCGACATCGACGAACCATTCAGGAGGAAACATGGCCGCCACAGCTAAGTTTCCCTCCCACACAAACCTCAAGATCCCTGAGGAACTGATGAAGCCAGTTTTGTCCGGGCGCGTTACCGTCCCAAAGTTGACATTCGGGACTACGGTGTTGAACGTAAAATGCGGCTTGTTCTCTTGTACCCACTTGAAGCAGCGCTGTTCAGATTCCGTCTTCGCGCAGCAATAGTTCAGCGCGGCGCGTGCGAAGTCGGCCGTCACCGGCAGCGTCCACGCGGCTTTGCTGTCTTCGTTGTAGGAGGATTGGGTGATGTGATACGGCTTATTTGGCTCCATCTGTACACAGGCAGCTTTCGACGACGTATACACGACGCTTTTTACGCTCTCTTCCTTCGCAGCAGCTTCGAGCAGTCCCACTGCGTTCTGTATTGCGGGCACAATCACGGCTTGCGGGTCCGAAACAAAAACGACCGGCGACGCGATATGGGCGATTCCGTCTACGCCTTTGACCGCCTCGTCGAAAGCACCCGGCGCCGCCATGTCTGCGATCTCGACCAAACTGAAGTTCGGTCCGTACTGCGAGGGCATCCAGTCGTAGCGGGAAGCATCGCGGACTGTGCCGCGCACGCGGAAGCCGGCGGCGAGCAGCTTTTGGATGGTTACCCCGGCGATGTAGCCGTTTCCGCCGGTTACGAGAATGAGAGAGCCTGGGGGAACTGGTGGCATCGTGAGGGTTTTAGACGGAGGGAGATGTGTGGAAGTTTAGGAGAGGTTCAAGAGCTGGGCTAGCGAGAGTGAGAGTAGGAGAAGAGGCGGGTAAAGGGGACTGCGTGCATATACCATGCCTACTGTGCCTCACTTACTGCTAACTCTTGGTTATGACGCAGTATCTAAACATCTCGCGCGGGAGGCTTTTTATGGCATGTCTTGCGATGGATGAGAGAGGAAATGCCTGGCGTCTCACATAAGCGGGAGGCCTGAGGAACTGCAAACTTTCTGAAACCAGAAAATGATCTCCGGGACCGACCAGGTTTCTGGAATGTTGGGAGTATGAGCTGACTATCCTACATGGGATGATCGCTGACTATCAGATGGCAGATGCGCTTGACCGGCAGACTCCCGCCCCGCCGCGCACTGAGTACAGACTTATCGCTCCTCTCAAGCTTATTACATAGGAGCATCACTGAACGCCCCCACTCAACTATGCCGCGGCTCAGCGGTAAGAACGTCTATTTCGACGAATCATCCAAGGCAAACGTTAACATCAAGGTCCAAGGCTACACACTCCATGCTCACAAGGACATCCTGCGACAGCATGTGTGTTTCGACAACTGTTTGCGGTCCGGCACGTGGAGCGTAAGTTGAAGCCGCACTCGCATTTCAACTGCAAGATCGCATCATACTCACATAAAACAGGAAGCATGCACCGGCATCATAAAACTACGCGAGCATGCCTCCTATGTCGTCATTCTCCTAGAATACATCTACCACGGCCATCTCAACACCTCAAAGATTGACTGCAAGATCGCCAAGCGTCTAGGCCGATCCCACAAGCACCCACGGAACGACGCATTCCACGCCGAACACGCCGAACACGCCAAGATCCTCATCGACCTCTGGGACCTCGGCGACCGCTACTTCATGTCCGGCTTCTGCGCCCTCTGCGCCGACCACTTCACCGACCTCCTCGTCCACACGCCGGGTGCGCGATACTCGTGGGACGTCTAGCACGCCGCCTTAGACCACTAGTACACCGACTTCGAGCCGCCTTGCGAGAACATGCCATTGTTTGGGGAGTGCATGGCGCAGGCGGCCGTGAAGAATAAGGCTTTCCTGAGAAGCGGGGTGTTCGAGAAGGCGCTGGGGAAATGGAGCTGGTTTGCCTGGGATTGCTACCAGTATATTGAGACGCATTTCCAACCTGGGGTGTTTGGAGGGAGGACGCCGGCAGAGTGTGTGCTTTGTCTAAAGATCATGGGCATGAAGCCGTTCTCTTGAGACTTGAGACTCGACGACAGGGTGGATATGAATATACGTCGCGGTGCACATAGCAGCAGGGTGTCTCACTGTTGGCCCTGCAAAGCCAGTCCTGGCGACCTGCGGCATGCAATGTGTACCGCCGCGTTTGGTGAACCGGAGCGGTTTAGGACTTACGCATCTCGCGGGAGACTGAGGAGCCTCTGGGAATGCTAGCGGATGTTCTTGGGTTAATATCATCTGGCATAGACACCATGCCGGGGGAGTCCGATAATGGTGGTTGAGGATGATCACGTGATGAGAATATTCACCTCGAAGCAATGCTGCACACGTATTGTCAAATACCTAAGTAGACAAGTGGTCTGAGTCTATCTCTAGTATATAACAACGGATGCATCTGATGTACATCCGTTCATGGAGCCGCACCATGCGCGTCGCCACCTTCCGTATTGGACGGCGACTGCGCCACCACCAGCCCTATCGGTAGGTAGGCACCGACATTATTTATCTGTCCCACACACGATACACCCGCATCTCTCTGCCAACAAAACCCAATGCATCTTCAATTCCCTTCAGTTCCGAGCACAGAGAATTTCTCAAATAATATGCCACATACAATGCCCTCAGCATTACACAAGCACGCAGCACCCCCCAAGCCAGGCCGCATTTTCCCCTTCCTCCATCTCCCCGCCGAACTCCGCATCGCCATCTACGAAGCCGCTCTCATCGCACCCTGCGAAGTCAACGCATCCTTCCACGTCCGCTACTCCCCCATCCAAGGCGCCGCTCTCCTGCGAACCTGCAAGCAAATCTATCACGAGGCGCGCGCCATACTCTACGAAAAGAACACATTCCGCATCGACGACTTCCGGCCACATCTAGCGAACCAATGCGGGGGCGGATCCCAACACGCGACCGAGTGGCTGACGCGCATCGGCGCGCAGAACGCCAACCTGATCAGGAAAGTTGCGACGGAGATACGGGACCTAGCTTCAATTCCGTGTTTGCTCTCTTTCTTTACTTTCTTGAAAGAGGTGTGCGCTGTTCCGGCGGTGGAGGAGTTGAGTGTGTGGATAGATCGAGCGAATTGGGGTTTTAGTCTTGAGAATGAGAGCGAGGCGGAGCTGGTGACGCAGCTGAATGCATTTGCGAGCTTGAAGAGGCTCGTTATCGGGGGGGTGATTCCGTCGTGGTGGCCGGAGCATCTGCCGGGGAAGATTCAGAATGGCAGTGTGAAGCTTGAGTTTGCGCCTGCTGGCTCGCTGATGTGGGTAGAGAGGCTGGCGGATAAGGAGGAAAACTGTAGAAAAAGAGTTGCGGGGGAGCGGGAGCGCTTGAAAAGGAGACAGCTTGAAGAGAAGATTGACGCATGGGAAGTGGGGATGAAGAAAGAATTGTCTGAGTGTATGGGGTTGATGAGAGGAGAGTGGAGGAAGACGTGTCCGTGCAAGGATTGCAGTATGCTTAGGAATGTTGGTCAAGGAAGGGCGAAGGCGTCAAGGGCGAGCGTAAGGGTCGACTGTCAGTGTCCCTATTGCGATCCCGATTGCAATTGGGTAGAGGAATATGAGACCCCAGGGCTCAGAGCGGTGAGCTATCATACGCACGACTGGACTTCGAATGGCGGCGTAGATAGCGCTGCCTATTCTCAAAGCTCGATAAGCCACGGGACGACGGAGCGTGGCCTGCCGGAGATTCGACGAGAAGTACCGTTTATCGAAGGAACAGCGACGCGATCAACACATACGAAGGTCGCATCGATAGACGGACGCTCTAAAAGGGGCCATCAGCAAGCCGTGCCAATCAGCATTGGGCACCCAGGTACGGCGAGAAAACACTCGCTCAGACGAGAGAACCGGAGGTGGTATGGGGCATCCCCTATTGGATTTTCGTAAATGCGCTTGATCTTAGTCTTGATACATTCTATCTGCGATGCTTGGGATGACCTGCCGCTCCTGACATGATCACGGGGAGTCTCAGCACCGTTTGACTGGATTACCTGGAAAGGCCTTCTCCGATCTTTCCATGCATAGGCAAGCCACCAGTGCTATCTCCACCTCCAAGATGAGTTCCTCGGTATGCGCCAGTCGCCGCTCCGGATGGCCTTCAAAAGACCCCAAAACCCGCCAAGCGGCCAGATCGCCCTCAGCCACAGGCCCCAGTTTTTCTTCGCCAACTTTTCGTGCCTCGCGATATCAACATGCACCTTCTCGTAGACGTCAGGGAGCGTGGCAGCCCGGTATTTCTTCCGTAGCCGCTCGTGCCAAGCGCGATCGAACTGCTTCCAAAACTCTTCTTCGCTGTAGTAGGTGTGTGCGTACAGCCACTTCATGCCCCCGAGCTCACCTAGCCGCTTCTCCAAATCCTGGTTCTTCTGGAGAGACTGCTTCCTATCCTTAGGCCCGAAGCCCCAGAGCCCGATGTTCAGCATCTGGTCAGCTTTAAGTTCGCCTTTCGTGTGCGGGTGCATGGTAGGCTGGGGAGATTGCTTCAGGGGACACAACCAGAGCGGCCAGATTCCGAAGGTCTCGTCGGTGTAGTAGATGAACTCCTCCGCGTTTGGATAAGGAAGCGCCATATCTTGCACTACGTATCGATTTACTTCGCCACTTGCATGAAGCGCGCGATACAGCATCCGCGTATGGCAGAAGTCGTCCAGGAACCAGCGCGTGTACTTGTTGAAGGGGAAGTTCATGTACTTGAAGGCGGAGCGGCCGACCCAAAAGCCGCCGCGGTCGTATCGAAACATGTACTCTGCCAGTGGAATGTATTCAGTGACCAGAGCTGAAACATTCCTTGTCTGCGACTCAACGTGGAGATAAAACCAGGGGTCCCAGGGGCTGCTAAAAGTCTGCGGTTGCACATTGCTCGGGAGCTCATCCGTCATCTCACCTGTGACGACAGCCCCATGCTCTTTGGAGAACAATATGCCGTCAACGTAGTGGTTTTCCTGGTTCTCGGTCTGCTTCTTGACTTCCTGGACCGCTTGCGCGATGCTGGTGGTTGGGTGATACGTGGTCTTTACGAACTTCTTAGCCTGTATCAGCTGCAGCTCAATGAGCGTCGTGATGCCTAGCGATCCAACGGCGCCGGCGGCTCCACGAAACAAATCTTCATTCTCCTTCTCGGACGCCTTGACCACCTCGCCGTCCGCCAACACCATCTCCACGGAATTAATCGTCCGGTCAAAGAATCCATACTTGAACGAGCTACTCTCGCCAGCAGTTCCCGCATACCCTCCCCCGGCCGTAATCCCTGGGAACTCCATAACGACGGGAGGCACAAGGCCGTGGGGTAACGTCGCTTCCACAAGGCGATCCATCGGCACATTTGGCTCGACGAGCGCAGTACGCGTGGCAGTATCGACTTTGAGTACATTTCGCAACTCGCTGATGTCGACGACGCGCTTTTTGAGAGACGGACGCGTGCTATTGGTGGAGCCGTGGGATATCCGGAAGGGCTCCTTGCGGGTGAAGTATTCCTTGACTTTGGAAGCGACCTGTGCGACTATGCACTGATGGCGCTCCATGATGGGCCCGAAGAAAGAAAACGAATAGGACTCAATAAAGAAAAGACCGTCAACGATTAATTAAGGATACATGATGATGATGTACAACGTAGTGGTTTGGACGCTGGATGATGTCGGCAAAAGTTGAGATTTTTTCTCCGATGAAGGACGCTAAACCAAATTGGCTCTAGCCCCTTTGGCGGTGCACGAACCTCTTCAACCTGCCCTGGTTTGACTTCCATCCCATCTACTGTTCGAGATGGAGACCTTCAGCGAAGCATACGCTGCAGATTAATGGCTCTACTCCTTTCTTATCCGGCTTTCTCTCGACTCATGCCCGAGTAGCATTGCTTGCCTTCTCTACAAGGCTGCAGTTAACCCCAGACGACTCCTCCATTCGGTCACCAGGCGTCAATGGCTGCGAGGACGCCCGGCGAGAGTGCTATTGACACCTTCCGGGGATTATCCCGGGTTATTGTTGTTCGAATGGCGATGCACGGTGCTATTCGTGCAGACTGACAGCGTTCGCAGCATACTTAGACAGCAACGCAGAGAAACAAAACCAACTAAGGATTGAACGAAGTCCTCGACATCAATTCCCCAATCCTCCCAACAATGCAGGGCCTGTAGCCCCACACATAAGTCCTGCGGGTGCGCTTTACCCGGAGCGGCGAGAAGCTACCCCGCAGACCAGGGGCAGCTCACCAAGCGGAGATGCGAGCTCGAGAGCCAGGGACACCAATACACTACATTACGGGCTTCATATCATCCGGATTTAACACGACAACCGCTTATCTACATTTCCCTTCTTGCGCGTTGGAGCACTGCAGCTGTCATCTTCCTTTGTAGCTCCTCATTCACTTTTCGTCGTGCCTCTGGCGACAGGCTCGTAGCGTGTACGACATATCCACTAGCCCCACACGCCTACTCTCCGCTGCACCCCGAACGAGGCGGAACTTTTCCGAGACTATTTTATTCCTACGCCTGAAGGGTTTCAAATCGACATCCCCAAAAAGACCCGAATCATTCTTTCCCATTGCTTCCCGTCTCAACCCCTCCACCGCACCAACATTCCCTCCGCCATGTCTCCCAAAAACCTCCCTCTAACACCCACCCTCTCCACCGCCCACTCCGGCATCCCAGAACGCCTCCTCAGCAAAGCCACGCACGCAAAAGCCCTAATCTACGACGGGAAAACCGTCTCCGACACCGTTCCCCTCAGCCGCGGTCTCCCCGTGCCCCAAGGCATCTCCAAGAAAGCCTTCCTGGCCGCCATCGACGAGCTCGGCGCGGTCCTAGGCGCGCAGCATGTCCAGCTCAACGACACCGAGGTCAAGAATGGCTGGTACATGGAGCACCCGAACACGCACGACATGATGCCGCTGCTGGACACAGAGGAGTTCGTCGCGTCGGCGGTTGTGTACCCCGGGTCGGTGGAGGACGTTAAGCTGCTTGTGCGGTGGGCGAACAAGCATCTTGTCCCTCTTTTTCCGATTAGCATGGGGCGGAATCTGGGATATGGTGGGTCTGCGCCGCGTGTGAGGGGCTCGGTAACGGTGGATCTGGGGAGGCGGATGAACCGCATTCTCGATATCAATGAGGCGGATTATACGTGTCTGGTTGAACCAGGCGTCACTTTCTACGCGCTGCATGAGGAGATTGTCAAGCGTGGGCTAGCCGACAAGATGTGGATTGATACGCCGGATTTGGGAGGCGGGAGCGTGGTGGGGAATACGCTGGATAGAGGGGTGGGATACACGCCATATGGAGACCATTGGGCGTGCCACTCGGGGTTGGAGGTCGTGCTTCCGAAAGTGGGAGAGGACGGTGAGGTTCCCGTTGTGAGGACGGGAATGGGTGCTCTGGGCGTCGGTGGGGAGAACACATGGCAGTGTTTTCCGTACGGGTTCGGGCCGTATAGCGAGTGAGTGATTCCACCCCTGAAGCCGCTATATGCGGCTGTGGCAAATCGACCGTCTTTCGGATGACTAACGACGGCAGTGGCATCTTCTCCCAGTCCAACTTCGGTATAGTGACGAAGATGGGCATGACGCTCATGCCCAACCCTGGAGGCTACGAATCCTTTGTAGGTCCTCCTTTGAATCTCCTCCCATCCGCTAACCACTCAGATGTACACCTTCCCCGACGAATCCTGCCTCGCGCCCCTTATCGAAATAATCCGGCCCCTCCGCATATCCAACATCCTCGAAAACGTCGCGCAACTGCGCCACGGCCTGCAAACGCTCTCCGTAAAAGGCCACCCCCGCACAAAATACTACTCAGGCGGCGGCCCCATGCCCGAAGACGTGGTGCGCAAGCACCTACGCGAAACGGCCACCGGCGAATGCGCCTGGGTGTACTACGGCATGTCGTACGGCCCAGCGCACATCCGCGCGCACAAACTCGCCATCATCGACGCCGAGTTCCGCAAGATCCCGGGCTGCAAGAAGATCGACCCCAAGACGCTGCCGGCAGACGAGTACTTCTGGTCCCGGGACAAGGTTGCGAGCGGGACGCCGGATCTGGAGGAGCTCAAGTGGGTGAATTGGATGCCGAACGGGGCGCATATCGCGTTCAGTCCTGTGAGTCCGATTCGGGGCGAGGATGCGATGAAGTTGTGGGAGCTGGCGAGGAAGAGGCACGATGAGGCGGGGTTAGATTTGATGCCTGCGTTCTGTGTGGGGTTGCGCGAGATGCATCTCATCATCGAGATTGTATATGATGCTACGGACGTGGATATGCGGAGGCGGGCGGAGAAGTGCTTGCGGTGCGTTAGATCCTCCTCTGTGTTGGTGATTGAGGAATCACGGAAAGCTAACGAGACGTAGGGATATGATCGACGATGCCGCAGCGCTCGGCTACGGCGAATACCGCACGCATCTCGCGCTGATGGATCAGGTGGCGGGGACGTACAACTGGAACGACAACGCGCTCATGAAGTTCAACAATATGCTCAAGGATACCTTGGATCCGAACGGCATCCTAGCACCGGGCCGATGCGGCATCTGGCCGAAGAGGTATCGGGGGCGAGGCTGGGAGTTGAAGGGTGGGGAAACGAGTAGTGAGGGCAGTGGAGTTGCGCCGGCGGCTGCAGACTCGAAGATATGAGCTCTAAAAAGGCCTGTCACGTGGTTTGGTATCGGGAGCAACTGTAATATCGAGGTCAGCAGGAGCAGGGCGACAAAGGTCGTCAGCTCGAAAATTCGAAGTTATATAAATAGTTGTACCATAGCGGTCGCTCCGCACGAAAGAAAGACGAAGCTGGAGCGGTAGAATATAAATCCCCAGAAGCTGTATTTTGAAACTATGACGGCGCCCGGACAACCTTTCGGCCCGTCACCTCGTATCTCTGGAGCTCCTGGATGATCTTTGGCGAGTCTGCGAAGTCGTATACTTCAATCTTCGGCATGATCTTCCCCTGTAGAGCGAGCTGCAGTAACTCGTCCATCTGCTCGGACGTGCCGGTCGACGAGCCTTTGATGACGAGGCCGCGATTCGCAATTTGGATGGGCGACATGGGGAACATGAAGTCGTCTGGAGGCAGGCCGACGCAGACAAACACTCCGTTGTTCCGTACCAGCTCCGGCGCCTGCTGATACGCTCTTTCGCTGCCGGCGACGCAGATGAGACCGTGGGCGCCTTCGCCGTCCGTCAAGTCTCTGACAGCCTGCAGCACGTCCTCCTTCGCGTAGTCGATGAAGGCCACGGCGCCCGTCTCCTTGCACAGCTTCTCTTTCTCCGCGCCGCTATCGATGGCAATGACCTTGTAGCCTTTGATAGTCGCAAGCTGCACGCCGATGTGCCCCAGTCCGCCTCCCGCACCCACGATAGCCACAAACTCGCCCGGCTGCACTTCTGGAGCAACCTTCGAGATAGCTCCCGCGAGACTCAGTCCAGCGCACAGCAGCGGCGCCGCAACCTCGCTCTTAACCCCCTCCGGAATCAGCGACACAAAGTCCGCGTGCGCAACAACGTACTGCTGCAGCGTCCCCCACGTGCTGCGTCCCGTGTTCAGCTGCTTGGGGCAATTATTGCTCTGGCCCTTCTTGCACGCCGCGCACTGCTTGCACGCGCTGTACAGCCACTTGATGCCCACGCGCTTGCCAAGCAGCTCCTCTGCAGCTCCCGGGCCCAGCTGGACGACCTCGCCCACGCCCTCGTGGCCGGGGATCTCGGTGTACTTGCCCATGCCCTCGACATTGCGGCAGTCGGAGTGGCAGATGCCGGAGCATTCGAGCTTCACGAGGAGCTCGTTCGGGCCGGGTTGCTGGATGTCGACGCCGGAGCGGATGGCGAGGGTGCCTGAGGGGCCGGGGGAGTCGATCCAGGCGACAGTCTGGGAGGATGGGAGTACCATGATGGGCGGACGGTGGGTGGATAGGAGGCCTGAGGGAGAAAGGGAGGATATGGGGAATGGGAGCTCTGGCGGCCTTCCCCGCTTGCCCCGCCGGAACTGCTCCGCGGCAAACATCACCTCTCGCCATCCGACGCCAACAACCTCAAGCTCTATGCGATGACGCTGGCGAAAGCCGAAGTCGGGCACCGAAACTCGAGATTTTCACCCTCTCCTCCCACGACATGTCTCCGCGTAGTCCCACGCAAACCCAAAACGCCGCCCTTTGCTTGTATGTTGAATGGCTGTGGGCGTAGAAGGTTGGTCGGGAGTCTGCTTCGGCACATACACTCGGAATGGGATTAATTCGCTATTTATCGCCCTTGCAGCTTACCTCGCTGATCTGATGTATTTCTCTCACCTGCTAGTTCTGGTATACGAACCCCCGAGCACTTCAACAAATCTCCCTATCCAAAGGCCCGCTAATACGAACCATCGGTCACTTCGCGTAGGGTGTATTTTTTGCTATAATTCCCTGAAGATCGTATGGTACTGGATCAGCAGCTTGATGGTAGCCGGTCGTCTTCTGGCAAGTCGATCGTGCCATCCTGGGCCTCCTAACTCAAGTCAGTCAATATTACCCTGATTTTAGGAACGACCAACCTTGTCAACCGAAAACCGAATGGCTCCAGCGAAAGGGCCAACACAAGAGCAGACGACATTCTTATGGATCTTGTGGGTATATACAAAGACGAGATTGGAGGTGCGAGCGCCGTCACACCGTCAGAGATTTGATATCTGGTGCAGGAAATCCGAACAATACACACCCTTCCGAAGTGTTAAAGATTAGGTTTCGAGGTATGCCGGGGATCATGCTGACTTTGGAAGAGGAATTCGATTTTCTTGCGAACTCTGAGCTATTGTATGGAGGGTACCGCTGGTCATCCCCAAGAGTGCATTTCTCACTCAACTGAACTGCGAGAAGAACTCCCAAATCTGCCCGGTCGTAAACGTCGTATCCTTATTCGTCGTCCCGCCATCCGTCGGAATCGGCGTATGATCGCCATCGAACGCCGTCCACCACAGGGGCTTATCCTCCTTGCACCCGGCATACTTGGTCAGCACATGCGTCTTGCTGCCCTTCGCGGGCTCCGGCAGCGACTGCTGCGTGCACCCGTTGTTCTTGACGAACACGTCGCGGAGCGAGCGGCCGCCGGCGATGGGAAGAACCGAGTCGCTGATTCCGTGCTGGATGTAGTAGGCGACGGCGTCGGTACCGCCTGCGCAACCGCTGAGCAGGGAGCCCGACTGGATGGCGACGGCGCGGAAGTCCTTGGCCAGGGTGCACGCAATGGAGTGCGACATGGCGCCGCCGTAGCTGAAGCCGGTGGAGAAGCGCAGGTTCTCGTTGATGCAGAGCTCGGCGTTGGTCGCTTTCAGGATCTCCTGCATGAACGTGATGTCCTCGCCGCCGGTGTTCGCCCACCCTGTCATCCCGTTTGTTCCTACGAGGCCATTGGGAGACACGAAGATGGCGCTCCCGTTCGCTTCCGCCTGCAGGCCGTAGTACGGGTTGGTCTGTGGGCCGTTGGCGACGTCGTTCATGGTGCCGGTCATCCAGTGGAGGGCGAAGATGAGACGATAGGGCTTGGTGTTGTCATAGTCAGACGGGAGCGCGAGGATCCATTCGCGCTGTTTGCCGTTGACTGTTACACGGTTGACGCCGGCTTTGATGGTGGTTGGCGATTTGCCGCAGCCGGGCGTGGCGGCCGAGGCGGTGGTGATGAGGGCGGAGAGGAGGGCGAGGGGCGTTAGGAGCTTCATCGTGGCACTTGGGTCTATCTCTTACTTTGGAGCGACTGGATGGCATGACATAGGAGCTTTATACTCCTCGCGACCAAAACCACCGGCTCCTTTCAACGCTGAACTCTCGTCGGTCCTCCGGTCTGATCACACCTCGTGCGGAGGAGCCATGCTCCCCCATAGCAGCCAAGAGGTGCAAATTGCTCCGTCTATCTCGAAGATCTCCCATGCATACATTCCCACAATCATGCCACTCCAGAACAAAGCTAGTTGCGCCTGTTTCGGGTGATCCGCATCTGCCGAAGTCCATATCCGGGGCAAGAGAATGATTAAATCTAGGGTAAGCTGGCCAGAACCAATCACCAGGCGCTATCTGGGTAATTGTGCTCGAGACTTCCAAGCCGCGTAAAGTGCGGCTTTTCGAACCCTGGGATGGCAGTCGGCAGTACTTCGTACCTAGGCAGATCAACGGTACCGAGGGAATACCAGCGTTCTGGGATCTGCGCTGGAACCTCAACATCGTCTGCATTTCAGTTGTCAGTAATAGGAAGCTCGCTGGTTCAATCACTTAGTCGTACAGAGCTGCCACGGCGGTGAAATTCTCCGTCCGCTCAAAGCCTTGCGCCGGCGCCAAAGGTAACTGTTCCATCGTCTTGCAGTCGGTCTTCAACAATGCAAGAACGGGATACGATAATTCCAAGCACAAAAGACTAAGACGAGTGTGGTGAAGAAGAATGAGAGCGGTTTGTTGGGGTTTTGACAGTGGAATTTTGCCTTACCCGAGTCGAATGCGCTAGCTGCTTTTACTCTAGCGCAAAATCGCTGTTCGAGTGAAATAGTGAATACAGTGAAGGTGGTGAGTGAAGACCGCCTATTGTCGCGCAGTAATCGACGGTTTTTGGAGAACTTTCCTTTTTAGGTAGGTTGAGCTTTCACTCCTAATACGCAACAAGATATGGGTCAGAGTGAAAGCGCACGCGAATGAACATAGACCGGATGGCGAAGCGAGGAAGGATCTGACGGTGAAACTCGGCCGCCTTAAAAAGGAAGGGTCGGAAAAGAAGGATGGCAGTTCCGGGGGTGTCGCGTAGGAGTGTGCGAACGGTAGGATTCCGATCAAGGGAGAAGAGGGAAGGGAGAAGGGCGTGGGTAGTTGGGCCTCTGTTTCTTAGTATACGTTCATTTAGTCGTACAGTACTAGTCGCTCCTTCAACCTAGAATTCCGGATGTCAGTAATACTTGCCTGCAACGTAATCATCTTTGTTCAAAAATCATCCTCCTCCCACTCCCCCTTCGCACACCCCACATAATGCCTCTCGCTCCTCGGCACGAAAGACACCGCATCGCCCCTCAGCCCAGCGCTTCCGCCACGCCCATCTGAAGCCCCTCCAGCCCGCGAGTAATCTCCAGAGCGGAACTCCCTCGCCCCACCCCTCATCTCATCGCTTCCAGAGCTACCTCTCTCCCCCTCCCATCTACATCCCCTATCCGCCGTCCCTGCGCCTCCCCGCTCGCTCTCCGCACACCTCGCCGCCAGTGACGAATCCAGACCCCGCCGCGATCCTTCTCCAGACCGGGAAGAGCCATCCAACCCCGGCGGAAACCTAGAGCGGTCATCATAGTCAAAGCCGCTGCCCCAAGCAGCTCCGCGCCCGAGGCCTGTAACATCGCGCCAGGACTCTGGGTCCGAATTATAGGTGTTGGAAGGCATTGTGCTTGATGGCTTGTGGTTGTGGGTGGTAGATTATGCTTGTGCTTGTGTATGATGATGGCTAGGTACTGGTGTGTGGAAATTGGGAAGAACGGGGGATGGAGACTGGTGGAGATCGTATATACGATATCGCGGATGTGAAGCGGAATAGAAGCAGGATGAATATACAACTTCAAGAGGACCTGAGAGGGAGTGAACTCGTAGGTGAACGGCCTGTCGACGCACTTCAAGCAACGGAATGCGGAGGACCGTAATCCGTGACCTGTAATTGCTGAGGCATGGTCACCGTCGAAGAAATCGAAGATTCGTGATGGGAAAGCAGGTAAACCGTGAACGGGACATGTATTTCGTGGTTGAATAGGAAAAGGGTATATCAGCACTCACTAACGCCGCCTACCACCCGACATCTATGAATGTCATCACGGCCGTTAAACGTTGACCCCTCGGTATCCACTTCCCTAAATCACAGCTCATCCCTCTGCCACACCTCCGTACTCTCCGGCCTCTTCAAGTGCTCAAACTCCTCTTCCTCCGGCTTCTCCACAATCTCCGCCTCCTCTTCAATCCCCACGCCCTTCATCGGACCGTCACTCTCCTCGTACCAATCATTCACCGCCCAGTCTATGATCTTCTCCTTGGCGTGCTCGCTCATTGTATAGTATCCCGGGTTATTCCTCGGCTCGAACATGCTCATGTGTGCCCAAGTCTCTGCGGTGCTCTTGTCGTTAACAGCCGGGATGAAGAACTGCTTTATCTCGCCCTTGGGAATGTTGCAGAACGTGCGCTCTATGCCCCGGACTTTACCGGTCCAAGAAGACTTCCCCTGCGAATCGACCGCGTGACCGAGAGTGGTGTAGATGTCCGCGAAGCCGATATCCTGGGTGTCAGACAGCTTCGCAATATTTGCAAGCCGCTTCTTCATCTCCTCAGGCCTTGCCAGAGACCCCACAAACTCAAGATGCGAAGTCGCCCAGCTCAACCCTTCGGAGATCTGATCCCTCTTCATGTACGCTGCTGCGCCGCCGGCAGCCACCGCGCCCGCGGCTCCGGCAAACAGCGCCACGCGTCCATATCTTTGCCACAAAGGTGCCGCTGCGGCATCGGCATTCGAGTCGCTTACTGCTTTGGCCGTTGTTTCCGGCGCAGGGAGCATCTTACTTGCATCGACCGCGCCGCTCTCGGGCCCTTTACCCCAGCCGAACGCCCCCGCGAGATTCGAATACGCCGCATATGCCGAGTTCGCCGTGTTCCAGTGCTTCTCTGCGCCGTGCGCTACTACGCCCGGGGCAATGCCAAGATATGGGGTGTCGAATGCGAGAATGCCCTGTATGTAGGGGAACATGAGCTGTGAGGTTTCGGGGAGGCTCGACGTCGAGTGAGAGGCGGAGTTCTGGAGGGAGTGTATCGGTTGCTCGTTTATGATGGAAAGGAGGGTTTCTGCTGCGACGATGCCGCCCATGGAGTGCCCGACGAGGATTGTGCGCACGGAAGGGTCGACGGTGGGGGAGGGCGTCCCGTTGGCCACCTCGAGGTCTATGACTTTGTTTTGCAGCCTGAGACATTGTCAGAATGCCATTGCACTCACTCGGTAAGCTCCTGGGAGGTTTCTGTCCTCGGGGGGCAGTCGTCCGACTCACCATTCCTTGAACCTCGCCACACACTCCTGCAAATCGCCGCGCGTCTCATAACTCGGATACGCAATCGCTAGGACTGTAACCTTTGGTAGCGCATGCTGAAGAATAGCTTTCAAGTGAGAGGGAAAGTTCCCGAAGGTGTTGTCGCTGCCCTGCAACCGTATCAGTAACAGCGGGAGACGGCAGACGTCATAGGAATCGACGATAGGGGCCGACTAGGGCGCAACGTGGGGGTCGAGGGTGTTATCATACCTTGAAGCCATGGATAAAACACAGTAAGAGGGTCTTCTTCATCCTGGGCCTTGGGAGTGTTCCTGCATCGCGGGGAGAGCTAAGATCGAGCTGAGATGCGGAGGTTGCGGCGGACGTGATTACGTCTGGGGTGCGGCTTCCTCGCTTGGAAGACAGGGGTGTGATTGGTCGAGATTGTGGTTGATGAAAAGGCCACATGTGGGCAAGTAGCTAGTTGTCGTTCGTGAAGGCAGTATAGAGAAGTGCCATGTAGAGATTATGGTGGGAGTTTGCAGGGTTAATCGAAGCAGATGTCGCTGCATGCGTCATACTTGGAGCAGTGCACATTGATACTACTAGGCACGTGACATTCATACCTTCGCGAGACCTGCCTGATTGAATTTCACATTTCATTTCATTCATTCGCTGTCGCTACTGTTCATCCTCCTTCTGAACCGTTGCCAAATTCTTCGTTGCAACGTGGTTTGTCCAAATGCATCGGTCCCATCTCCAGACATATCCTCAGCAACAACCTTTTCTTTCTCCCCATCATACAACATCTTGCTTTCAGAAATTATCCAACCGTGCCACCAATGAGGGTATATGGTACAAACGAAAACGACAATCAACGCCGCAGCTAGCAACTCCACCCAATGCTCAAATGATGGCATCTCGAAATGAAACGCTTAGAAGGTCGACCGTTACATGCTCAAAAGACTGTTGCGAAGAGGAGAGCTACGCCGACTATCGCTGAAAGGGCGCAGTGACCGACGTTGAGCGGCGGTGACGAACCGGTGGCCACAACATCGAACGGTGAGCCGCCTCCGGAATCCTGATTCGACCTCTGGCTGCTCGCGGTCTGGCTCGCAGCTGGTGGCGGGCTGCCGGTAGCGAACGTAAGCTGCGGTTGCGCCGTGCTGGTGGGAGGTGCGACTGATTCATTCGGTGTGTTGGCGACGGACGTGGCAGACGACTCAGCGACGCTCGAGTCGCTCTCTATCGCCTGCGATGAGCTCGGAGGTGGCGCTGCCGGTTCATTCGACGCTTGCGCTTCTGTGCTCGTTTGCGGCGGTGGCTGTACCTGGGTCGAACTGGGAGCAATCGTTGTTACTTCGACGCCCGGGCATAGCGCTGGAATTCCTTGTCCGAGCAAGAAGACGCCGATGATGGATGTCTCCGGCACATCGACGTTGGAACACTGCTGGCTGACGAGCTCCGATATGGTAACCAGCCCTTGAACGCAGTTTGCGCTACAGCGCGCGCCATTCGTAAAGTCGCCAGCTTGGCAGCCCTGGATCTGTGTTGTGTATGCCGACTGACATGGCGACGGCAGATTCTCGATGCGCGGCGTAAAGTTGGACAGCGATATGGCCTGGGTGGCGGACGTCACGCCCATGGCGATGAGGCCCGACATGATAGCTCGACGAAGTGGATGGGGCATCGTGGTGTATTTCAGAGAAATGCGTACGCGGCCTGCGGGGATGAAGGTGGAGTGAAATGTGGATTTGCGAGAGAGTGCTTGAATGTTTGCTTGGGAGTGCCCCCGAAATCTCGCTCGCACAGGAGGAATGGCCCAGCGAGAGAGCGACGATGGAGTGGTGAGACGGTTGCTGTTTTGGATGAATGGTGATGTTTGTGAGACGCGGGCCGTTTGCGATGCGTGGAGTTTCGGAAGACGTGGCTCGCCGCCGGCAGTGAGTATGAAAGGTCGTCGTCCGCTCCGCTGCACGTTTCCGTGATCTAGGTGGTCTTCAAGCAGCTTTCCACGGTTCTGTCTCTTCCAAATTCCGCCGTTTTGTTTGCTGGTGTCGAACCCAATTCCAGTTCCCGAGACCAGCGCTTCGGGCTTATGACGACAAGGAGTTGCTTTCTTATGCAACCTGGCCAATTGCGCCTCTTCTACCTCTGTACAAGCGACAGTTCAGCACGCGTTCTGCAAGGCAAAGAGCGAAGTGAGACAGAAGGAGGGGACGGCGAAGAAACAAGTCTGGCGCCGGGCCTGCAAGGAGCGCGAGAACAGGCGGGTTAAAAAGGCGCGCAGCGCAGGACGAAAAGACGATGTGCGAAAGAAAGGGAGGTGGTGATGGTCGCGATGTTCAGTCGTTCATGCCATTGTGGGTGCGCGCCGGTGGAAAAGGCTGCTTCCGAGCGAAGCGGGCAGGCAAGTCTTATGACAGATCGCCAGGGACCCCAAGGGGGTTTATGAGCGGAGCGCATGGCGGTTGGCGGAGCGTTTGGTGATAGTCAGGGCGGAGCTGCGAAGCGTGAGTTGAGGTGTGCAAGATGTGCGGGCTGAAACGCGGCCGTGCGCCAGCCCCTCGCATTCTGACATCACATTGGCTGCCTGCGCGTTACACAGTGTGGCCGGCATCCCCTGAGACAGCGAATGTGAAGCACGCGCCGAAAGGGGACAAAATAGACTCCTACACTACGCTGTTTTCTATATTCAGCCGAAGCGCGAGTCTAGGGACTTCTGTCGCTTCGGGCACGCTGCATCGTCATCGCATCAGCATTGCGCAGTCAGCCCGCCGTCTGACCACGAGATCCTGAACTATCAAGCAGACCTGAATACATCGGGCACCTTGATGGATGGTCCGTCATCAATATATCGCATGAGGCATCCCCTTCGCCATTTTCTCGTCGGACGCATAGCCACTGCGAGACGGCCGTCAATACCCCAGCGACGTAGCTGCTTCTCCCACAATATGGGAAAGCAATGGTAAGCGCATGAACTACGGTAGTTTCATTGTTTCCATTATTTTCGTCAGTTAAACAGCCCGAGCACTTTCTTAGTCCATCACGATGACACTCCTAAAGCGCACCTTGCCACTCTCCATATGCTTCACCGCATCCTCCACCTTATCGAACGGGAACTTCTCCACCATGCACTTGACGCCCTGGTACTGAGCGAAGCTGATCGCCTCCTCGCTATCGAGGGCATGCCCAGATGGCCATCCATGGACCGAGGTACCATTCATGACGAGCGAAACAGTGTCGACCGGGATCTCGCCAACAGCTATCCACAGTCAGCACCAGCCCTCGGGAAGATTCCGCCCATGCGAAAAGGAAGGAAGAAAGAAACTCACGAGCAAGAATCAACACCTTCCCCAGCGGCCCCAGGCCCTTGACCAACGGACCCATGACCTCCGGATTCGGCGCCGTCACCACAACCAAGCTCGCCCCGCCCATCTTCTGCAGCGCCTCCGCCGCATCTTCCTTGCTCGTATCGATGTAATCATTCGCGCCGAGCTGCATTGCAAAGTCTTTCTTGTTGCTGCTCGTCGACAGCGCGACGGTCCGGTATCCCATGCGCCGCGCATACTGAATCGCAAGATGGCCCAGCCCACCAAGACCCTGAACAGCAACTGTGTCGCCTGGAATGATGTTCATGTTGCGGATGCCGTTGAAGACGGTGACGCCGGCGCACAGGAGTGGTGCGTATTCGGCGGGGTCCACGCCGGCTGGGATACGGACGACGGCTTCGGTGCGGAGGGTGCAGTATTCGGCATCTATGATCCACCATCAGCACACCATCATGGGTCGAAGAACTACAGGAGGGAGCTTACATCCACCGTCCCGATTCACGCCATTGATGAGCCCGTTCTTGCACATCTGGTACAACCCGCGATTACACGCCTTGCACAGCCCATCGTGAGCACCATGCCATGGCCCGCCGACCAAGTCACCGACCTTCCACTTCTTCTCGTCAGGGCCGACGGCGGCTACGGTGCCGATGACTTCATGGCCGGGGATGCGCGGGAAGGTACCTCTGCAGGAAGCAATTAGTCCCCAGTCGCCTTACCGTCCAGGGCGATGTATCTTCCAGACAGGAGTAGATGATGACTTACAAAGGCCCAAAAGCCCCCTGCTGCAGAAAAGCATCCGAATGGCACACGCCGCACGCATGCACCTTAATCAAGACCTCGCCGCGGCCCGGCTCGTGAACCGGCACCTCCTTGATAGCCCACGGCGCGCCGGGCTTCTCGAGGACGACGGCGCGGCAGGTCTTAGGGATCGAGGGCGCCATTGCGTTATCTCAAGTCTCCGTGTCACAATCCAACTCAAGAATGCGAGCGAATCGGGTAAGTCAATCAGTTGAAGAATGCAGCCGTCCCAAGAGAAGCGTAAAACAAAGCCTGAGAAATGTATCCATCCAGCACCGAGTAGACAGGCCTCTTTATACGCCTCCCAGCTATCTAGCTTTTTATCTCCGATCCATGCCACCTTCCGAGTCCTCCTTTCATCATGACCTAAGTAGGTCTCGAAGCGGCGGCAGCCCCGCCCGTCATTGGCGCAGAGCGAGTAAAACTCCGATTCTCCTTGCGTCACCCCTGCCGGCTTTCCAAGACGTCCGCCTGCTTAATGGGTGGGCTTACTAACTCAGGTGGTTGGTTTCAGTATTGCGAGCGGCTCGGTGATAAGCCACAGCTCCAGAGGGAAGCACGATGTTCTTTGCTTCGACGCCACCCATGCATACGAGGCCGCAGCCCGGATGTATGACGTCTATTAAAGCCGGCTAGTGGAGCTCCGCCGGCCTCAATGGCATGTGATTGGCCAGGTGCGTTGCACTCCATTTTGCAGCATCAGAACACGACACGGAAAGCAGCTGAATAATTCAACGTGGAATTATCAAACAGGAATGCTCATTTTGGGTATCATTTTTCTGTAAAACCATGCTCATGCCAGCAAATCATCACCAGGCGTCGAAATTGCCAAACCCGCCAGTCTTGGCTTTCTTCTTGACCGGCATCACTTCTTCCTCGTCCACAAATCCTACTATCTCATCGTCGTCGTGCATCTCCTGCCTCGCCGCCTTGAGATACTTCCCCACACCCAAGCCTTCCCCGTTTCCCTCGTCCACAGTCCCGTCTGCGCGTATGCGCTTGCCCGTCCAAGTCGTCTTGTCATCCGCAGTTCCGCCTTGCCGCCGTATCTCCTCTTCCTCGTGCTCCTTTGCCTCCTTCTCCGTGCGCTCTCTCTGCCATTCTTCGAAGGGGTCGACGAAGACTACTATGTCCAGGATTTCAATGTCGTCCACTGGCCTGTCTTTCTCGCCTGTCTCGGCAAGCTCCATCGCCTTCAGTGTGGTGTCCAGGCCGCCGACTACTCGTGCGAATATGGTGTGTTTCCGGTCCAGATGTGGCACTTGGCGGTATGTGATGAAGAATTGCGAGGTATTCGTATTCTTGCCCTTGTTCGCCATAGACAGGATGCCCCGCGTGTTGTGTGTATTCGGTCCGTCAAACTCATCGTTGAAAGGCTTGCCCCATATACTTTGTCCGCCTCTTCCGGTGCCCGAGGGATCGCCACCTTGGATCATGAAGCCCTTGATGTTTCGGTGGAAGATTGTGTTGTTGTAGTATCCCTTCTTGGCCAGCTGGACGAAGTTCCATACCGCACGCGGTGCGAATTCGGGGAGGAGCTCGATGTTGAGGTCGCCGAGGGAGGTCGATATCCGTGCGTAGCCTTTCTGCTTCACGCGCTTTGGCTTTAGCATGTAATCTTCGTCGGAAAGGACAGCGCGCTCGCCGGAGGTATGTGGGGTCATGCCGGTGGAGGTGAAGGACGCAGCTGCTTTTCCGGAGGTGTAAACGGCGGCATTGTATGCGGGCTTTGCGGCTTGCGTGGTGACTGGCTTCGCGCCTGTTCCGTTCTTCGGCACGGTGGCTACAGCGTTCTTCGTCGTAGGTTTGCCTTGCGCTTTGGCCTGTCGATCCGCTCGCGCTTTTGCGACAGCCTCCTTCGCCTTCAGAATCTTTCCCGCATTTCCTAGCGCATCAGTGTTCACACTGCTCTCAGACCCTGGTATCACCGCCTCGCCTTCCCTGATATGCTTGTACGAGTTGAAGTCCCGCGACTCAATGTTCTGCGGATCCTGCAGTGTGATGATGTCCTTCCTCGTGAACTCCTCATCCGACACCAGATCCCGCCAGTTCTTCGCCTTAATGTTCAACCGCTCCACCGTGTCCCATGCAAACACATTCCCGCTCTTCCGCAACGCGACGATGTGCGTGTTATCCGTGAAGACCTTGTACGTCACCGGATCCACGTACTCGCCATCTTCATTCTTCGTAAAGTTGAGCGTTATAAGGTCCGATCGTTTCAGCGGCGCGCCGTCGACGGGGTTCGTGTCGGGGTGTTTCGAGAGCCAGGTGAGAATGTGCGTGAGGTCGAAGATCGTACCGGAGGAGGTGCATACGGGATCAGTAAAGGGCTGGAGGGAGACGGCGCAGTAGTTGAAGGGGAGGCGTTTGAAGGTTGAGGCGAGCCCGGCGGCGGAGGCTTTGCTCGTGTTTGCGCCGCGCGACGTTCCGAAGGAGTCTGCGGAGGACCACTCAGAGTGGGTAATGTAGAGCTTGTCCGTGCCTTTTCCCATGCTGTTCAGCTGGTGGCTATGGAAGTAGGGATGAAGGAGGAGAGTTCAGGAAAGTCGAGCTGGAGAATGACGCGCCAAGAGATCTCCAGTTCAGCCACAGGTCAGAGCTTTCGCTTCGGCTGCATCTCAACACCATCACCAACCAGCTTGGGTCAGTATACACGGGATAAACTTCAGAGTAATACACTCCTTCTATATGACCCTGCCGCCAATTGCTTTCAAATTCCTTCCAGATGGGTAATCAGGCGTCGATTCAGCTATTCATTCACAACGGCAAAGATCACACTGTTTCACCCGCAAGCTAGAAGTACGTTGTGCAGAGTACTCAATGTCAGTCCATATCGAGACAGCTTGTCCTATCTTCGAAAGATCCGCCCGTCGGTGGCTCCCAACGCACCATGACCGTATGTCACGGCTCCGAGTCTATCTCCATTCTGTCCCACTGCTCAATCGATTGCACAACCGACTGCTCGTCACCCTCCTCTTCTGGCAGTAGAACAAAATCCGGCCCTTCCTCCAGTACAAAATCAGGACCTTCCTCCAGAGTAAACTCAGACTCCTCCTCCAGAGCAAAGTCGGGCTCTGGCCGCTGAACATGCACCGGCTCCCGCGACACCAGGTTATGATTGCTCCTCAGGTAATCCTCCTTCCACTGATCTAACCCATCAATCTCCCCAACGAAATATAGGTACCCCACCTCTGCTCCTACTTTCCTGGCTTTCCTCTCCAGTCTCTCCTGCTCCTCTGCTTCCTCTCTCAGCTTGATCTTTTCCTCCAGGTCTTCGTCTGATCTCAGAGCCTCGGCGCTCTCGCAGTGAGACAGCGAGCTACGCGGGGGCCGCTGACGGAGTTTGTTGCCTCGAGCACGTCGTTCTATTTTCCGTTTCTCATCCTGGAGGTACCGGTGAGTTCGCCGTGCTATAACGTTAGAAACAGGAGAGGCCCAAAAGTCCGCCGGAAAGGGTGTCTCATCGTCCAATCGCCACTTATGGCGCACGACAGTTTCGGTTCTGTAGCGCTCTTGCAGGGCCTGTTTCTCAGCTTCCGTAGCAGCGATAGCAACGCGGAGCGATCGGATTATCCTGCGCATGGTCGGTGAGCCTTTTGGCTTGACGGGTGCCTTGCTGCGTCGTTTTCTCTTCAGTCGCTGCGGCGTCAAGGGTGCGCGATCCGGCGCAAGGGCACCAGGACGCTCCCACCAGGTGCCATACGTCAAGCTGGCACGGCGAGGTTCATCCGGGCTCGGTGTCGTTGTCCCACATGTCGAAACATCGGAGGCGACGTTGGAGTCCCAGGCTTCATCAACGCGCACGGCGTCTGTCCGTAGGCGAGCTTCATCCCAGGTTTGCTCTCGCTCCCACCGCAACTGGTCTCTTTTCCTCGCGTCCTCCATCCGTCGGTTCGCAATATTGTATTTGAGGCGCGCGCGGTTCCATGCTGCGTCGCGCAAGTTCCAGGGACGTTCGAGGCCTCCATTTAGTAACAACAGCTCCTGTGCAGTCTCGAGCCTCGATTTTGCAGTAGCGAGAGTGCAAGCTGGGCAATTGGGGGTGTGTGGTGAAGCCGAAGGATGGAGCGGGTGTCCGCACTTGGTTGCGACGCGCTTGGGGAGCAGGCATGACTGAGGCTGGCACTCGACGCCCACTGTAACTGGGGCTACAGGTCGGTCCTCTGATTCCATAATGATATGTAGCTGGGCTGGCTGTGTTTCTGAGCGTTGGCGTGGGGGAGGTGGGTGGAAAACGTGTTTGTCGGGGTACGACCGGGCATATCTTGTGGCTTGGTGGAGAGATTTCAGCGGATGGAGCATAGATGCGTTTAAATGGTAGTGTCTGTTCTGAGGGAATGCTAATGCTAAGTCAGATGTTTTTACGACGGTGAAAGCGGCTTTCCGCGGGGCTGCCGCCTGCTCTTTCCCTCTTCGGCCGCAACTCTTGAACGTCACGTCGTTACCTGCTTCCCCCATCTGCACACATTCGCATAGCAAATGACGAGGCGCAAGCGCACACTATTCCTCGTGTTTTCCTCCCTATTGCTTGGATAGCATGGCTGGTTCGAACTGTCCCCAATGGTGTCGCCCATGCTCGGCCTCTCACCGCCAAACGCGACCAGCCCTCTCTCCTTCACCTTTGACCCCGCTCCCCGCTCCCCGCTCTCGGTCTCTCGACTCCTTCACCTCTGCCGCTCACCTACGCAAACCAAGATGCGCGCGATGACCAACGTACTCCAACTCCAAGACGCGGTGTCAAGAAGTATCGGTCGTGCTGTAGTGCGCAATTCCACGTTCACGCAGAGTTCTGTTCCATCAAACAGTGCAACGATGAGCGAGTTTTGCTTTCTCACTAGCATACGACGCTTTCGCGGTGAATATGAGTCTCGTTTGTCATTTCCAGACTCGAGATTTCGAGGTGAAGGCGAATGTGAGTCGGCCGCAATCCCAATTCACTGCGACACTGCCCACCTATATAATATGCAGCCACCCCCCGAAGATCAGCTACAGTCGCGCCGGGTAACTCTACTCGTAGAGTTACAGTCCCGCTAACAAGCCGCAGGGACTCTTTCACCATGGCGCAACCGCCCCAGTCGCCAGGCCGACTAACCACGCCTCTCAATCCCATGGCAGCGCCCTTCCACCCCGCAGCCCCCGCAGCCCCCGCAGCTCCCGAATTCCAACCGCCTAGAAGTATCGAGGACGCTCTAGTAGAGACGGGTCCTATCGGAGGTATGTCTAGCTCTGCCACCAGGATTGTGCTTTAACTCACTTCAGACTGCAGAATCACCATTTCGACAATCCGAGACTATGCGCCCTACCTTCCCAGGTATTCCAGCTCTCCAGCCGTTCCGCCTAGAGGACCTTCTCCCCGCTCCAGAGCCCGCTTCGCAGTCATGGCCGGAGGGTCTAGAAGGTGGTTGTCCCCGATCCATCGAAAGCAGGTGACTAACTTTCTACAGCACGCTCGAGGACCGCGAGACCGCAGCAAGCGGCGGTTGAATCTTCAGACGAGAACGAACCGGGGTTTAGCAGCAAACCAGAAGATCGAAAAGTCGAGGTGAATACCACGGAGAGGCGGCTAGGATCCGGTCTCAGTGAGATAATGCAGCAAGACCCACTAGCCGAAAGTGTCGCTAGCAAGAGCGAGGAAACGGTTGCCAGTTCCGAGAATACTGGTCTGCTGTTTCCGCTAAACACACGCGCTCAGGGTCTCGATGATATGCTGGTTCAGCAGGCCCTCGAGCGGTCGCTGACCGCCAAAGATCTAGCCCAACTTCTCCAAGGGAACATCGATAGCAGCGCCGCTCGCCATATGTCTACCGAGTCAATCATTACTAAGTCCGAGGATTCCGACGAGACAGTCACGCCGCATTCAAAGCAACGTTCTCAGCAGAACACCAACAGTCGTTCGGAAGTCCGACGCCCTCCACCAGGCTTTGCCTCCTCGTCGCATCAACCGCCGATGAGCCTATACAATCCCACCAGCTTCTTCCCGCCGCAGCACCTTCCTCCATGGCAGCCGATGCTGCAGCAAGCAATACTACAGCAGCCGATGCTACAGCAGCCGATACCACAGCAGTCTATGCTTCAACAGCCAATGCAGCAGCCGTCGATGCCACAGCAGTCGATGCTACAGCAACCAATGCTACAGCACCAAACTCCACAGCGCCAGATGTTTACGACGCCTCCTGCGCCTACGTCTACTGGCGGCATGCTTAGCGGCTCTCACCACACGCACCGTCCATCCCATGGCAGTCCTGGCATGAGCAATAGCCCCTCTAGACTACCGCCGCGCGATCGCCGTGTCTCCGGAACGCAGCCCCGCGCTCCTCGAACAAAGCGAATGGACCAGGGACCACTGCCCTCGAGCGCTGACATCTATCCAGATGATGCTTCTCCTCCAGCAGCACCCCTACCGAGAGCAGGTATGTTATACGAGAATGCATATCTTGGACGCGAACTTGAGCAGGACCAGCAAGAAGACGCTCTGCGCGTGGAGGATCACGCGGAATGGCCCACACCAGCAGAAGTGTTCAAGGCTGACAGACCAGCTGGTTCCGCGCGTATGCGCCAGAAGGCTCCCACTCAACCCACTCCTGTGCGCCAGGCTGCCCCCGCTCAACCCGCTCCGACGCGCCAGGTTGCTCCCACTCAACTCGCTCCGATGCGCCAGGCTGCTCCCGCTCATCACGCTCCGATGCAACTTCCGATGCGCCAGGTTGTTCCTACTCAACCCGCTCCGATACGCCAGGCTGCTCCCGCTCATCACGCTCCGATGCTCCAGACTGCTCCCGCTTATCACGCTCTCATGCGCCAGGTTGCTCCCACTCAACCCGATTTGATGCGCCAGGCTGCTCCCGCTTATCACGCTCTGATGCGCCAGGTTGCTCCCACTCAACACGCTCCTATGCGCCAGGATGCGCTCATGCAACCCGCTGCTACGCGCCAGGATATGCCCATCCGACCCGGACCGGAGACTTACGCCCTAGGTGGACAAGAGCCGATCAGTGGCGAGGCGCCTTCTTCGTACAATCCATCGCCCGCGCGCAATCCATCGCCTTCAATAAGCGATCTCGTCAATGCCGGTCGCACCGACGAGCTGGTCTGCGACAGACGGTCGCTCACGCCGGGTCAAAAGGACGGCACAAGGTATGGAGTGATGCTCAACGGCATCGGAATGGGTCATTCTTGGGCCCCGCCAGCTGCTTCTGAGTCCGAGCCGTTTAGGGTGCGCCCGAGAAACCATGAAGGGTGGGGCAGTTGGGAGTGGGCGATAAGGACTGGATGGGCGGATGAATGAGGCGCCATTGCTATAAATCGGCGCTAGTTGGCGATGAGTATTGAGGTCTTATGGCAAAATAGATATTTCTAAGAGACGGAATACGGCTGATCTGGTTGGACTGAGTCGAGCTACCGGATCAGGATTGCAGATGAGTACATGGGTCTAGGGTTGGATAGAGTCGTGGGAGGACATATCGCAACGAGAGGACTTACGACCATTCTTCACCAATTCCACGGTGGGTAATCATCATTCTTCGCCTCGAACAGCAGGCGAGTTAAAAGTTGGAGTGGCTTTTCATTTCTAAAAGGAACGTTAGCATGTACCATACAAGGCCGGGGCAGGAAAGGTGGCCGCTCAGCACGAGAATTGCAATAGACATCCTTACTATGATTCTCCTCAGTGTCAGTGACTTCGTTCATTCATCCCATCGTGACAATGTGGTAGGTACAGGTCAATCCTCATTTCCTTCATCTTCTCCGCCATCCCCAACAACAAACTCCCTCTCCCTCGCCGCCATCCGCCCAGCATCCTCCCTCCCCTTCTCAACGTCCAATCTCCAAAGCAACGGTCCAGGCAACAGCACCAGCACCGCCAGAAACGCAAACGCAGGCCGTATCGTGCCGGCACGATCGACGATCCACCCCACAAGCGCGGGTCCAAACGCGCTACTCCCCTTATCGGTCACAGCGTACAGCGCAAAGAACGCTGCCTCGCTGCCCTCAGGGATGAGCGGCGCGTACACAGAGCGCGCGTACGAGGATATGCCGCCCATAACCAGACCGTGGACGACGCCGAGCGGGTAGATCTCCCAGGGTTTCTGCAGGCCGCCGAAGCCGAGTGCTTTGACGAAGGGGATGTAGCCGAGGAGGCCGTACAGCGGTATGACCTCCATGGCAGCGACGCAGAGGATCAGCACGGTCTTCGGTGTTAGGGAATACGCTGCTGCGGCGCGCGGCCAGATAAACGCGCCGAACATGCCGCAGCCGATCGAGGTGATGGAGAGTAGGGCGACGGCGATAGTGCCCATTTGCAGCTCTGTGCGCGCGAAGAGGACGGCGGTCCCGGAGATGGTGGCGATGGCGTCGGAGAGGAGGAACCATGCTATTAGGAAGATGATTACTTGGCGGAGGCGGAGGGCTTTCTTCAGGGTGTGCCAGAAGGATCGCAGCGAGAAGAGGGTGTAGAATAGGAACGTGTTCCCTCTACGCGAAAAGGGTGTTTTAGATTGCGTTGGGAGGGGCGGTCCGGGACGCGGTCGTAGCCACAGGAGCGTGGGGATGGTGAAGCTGGCCCACCATATGCCGACTAGGAAGAGGATTACGCGGATCGGGAGGCTGGGGTTGTTCGTTGAGATGGAGGTCTTGGAGAAGAGGAAGAGGACAATGATGCTGAAGACTTGGACGAATACGGCGGCTGCGTATCCGAGTCCGACGCCCTTTGAGGAGATTTTTGCGGAGCGCTCGAGGTCGCGGGTTAGCTTTTCTGGGTCGGAGCGTCGGGTGGAGGTGGATTCGGGGTTGAGTGCTTCGAGCTCGTGATCTGAGGAGCTGCGGTCTTCGGATCTGGAGGCGTTGTCGATGTGGTTGGATACTAGTAGTGGGAGGAAAGCATTCAGGAGCGTGAATGAGCACCCGAGACAGGTTACGCCGATGATGACGAGGAATGGTGCGAGGAAGTAGACGCCAGGCGTGATGAAGATAAAAAGTGCGCTGACAATTGAGCCGGCGTACGCAAATGCTAAGAGCATCTTCTTGCGATACGGTCCTCATCCCTATCAGCATCGACATCGACTCAAGCTCAAAGCAGACATACCATGATCCGCAAACGAGCTGAAACACACGAGCGTAACAGCCTGCACCAACACCGCCGCAGACGACGTATACATAGCAAACGACGCCGTCGTGATCTCAGCGCCCAAAAACTTAACAATGCACTGCTCTTCGCGGCCATCGCCCGCTCTCACCCGCAACCTGCCGGAATCTGCGGATCCGGGCGGAGTGACGCATGGCTTCGATCTGTCCGAGAAGAAGACGCCGTTTTCCCTGGAAAGCTGTTCGAGAACTACGGGAAGGAATAGTCCTTCGATGTGTTAATGGCGTGCGGTTTCCGGGGGTTTCCGAGGGAAGATAATGCGTGCTTACCTACTCCGACGACGGCGAAGACTTCCGCGGCTATGGCGTAGGAGTACCAGCCGTTGAGCTCTCGCGGCGTCGTCGGGCTGGTGTCTTCGCCTTTGTAGCGGGTGCGTTGACGGGGCCTCACCGCCTCGTCGAAGGACATGATGCGAATGTGTGGAGGATGACGGTTGAGGTTGACGGCATATTGCCGGATTCCGTATAAGCACGCTAGCTCGTTTCGCATTAGCACGGATGCTAATGATAACGACCTCGCATCCTGCGCCCTCATTACACTTCAAGTTTGCATGATACCGTTGCCCACACGAGGAAGGATAACACCGTTTTCATATGTGCCAAAGGAAACGTACCTCGAGGCTGCACAGGTTTCTGCTGGTTGGGTGACATCGCGGGGCTCGTTACCTGGTACATGCCAGCCTGATGGCTGCAAAGACCGAAAACACACGTCAAAGCATTCCAACCCTCCCCGAGGTGGAAAAGAAAGATCACTCTATCAAAGCTGTCACTGCTGCTGCGGAATGCGCAGTCTGTCACGACTTTCGGCTGCCATCGGGGCTTGACATGAGACTCAGTGCCATCCGCCACTCTGCCACGGGGGGTTGCTTTTATTGCAATATCCTCTTGCAGGCTGTGCATCGACTTCACAATGAAGGCAAGAGCGCGGCGGGGCTACTCGAGTCAACGGACGAAGATGCCGGAATTACGGTCATTTATGAAGCGCCCTGGCCACGCTTGCAGGTTGCTTTGAATGCTCGCCGGGAGCAGAAAGTGGAGTTATTCCGCCTGCCTGGTATGCTTGTCCACACATGGAGGAGTAGAGACTGATGAGGATTACAGGAACCCGTGAGCCTTGGTTTCCATGCGAATCTGCGCATCCTGTTTCTGGCAACACACGGATTAACTGTCGCCTTCCTTGGGTGCAAAAATTGCTGCACGACTGCCAAAGAAATCACGTCCGTTGCCAGCCGCCCGATTCACCAACAATCGAACCGCCTGCTATGCCCTCAAGGCTCATCGACGTAACGCCCTTAGACGAGTCGCGGTCCGTCAAAGTTGTGGAGTCTATCGGCCTAAGAGAACCTTACTTATGCTTAAGTCATTGCTGGGGCGTGTCTTCAGTGCCATTATCGACGACGAACCTAAATCTGCATAACTACTTACACCGCATTGAATGGTCCAGCCTCCCAAAGACCTTCCAGGATGCTATCGACTTCGTTCGCCTCCTAGAGCAACGCTACCTCTGGATCGACTCGTTATGTATCGTTCAAGACGATCCCAACGATTGGGAACGAAACTCAATTCAAATGGCGAGCATTTACCAGAATGCTTACCTGACTCTTGCTGCAACCAAGGCTAGGAGCAGCGAAGAGGGATTATACAATGCGGCGAACAAATTTGACGCAATACCGTTGTCGGCTTTAGCGAAGAACGGGCGAATACAATCTGTGCTATGCCGCAGAGCAGTTCACCATTGGTATCAAGGAGAACACTCGCCGGGCAGTATGACACGATGGCTTTTCGCACCGGTATTTGTATCGAAACATTTTCCGCTGTTGGATCGCGCGTGGGTCTTACAGGAGAGATTGCTGTCACCTCGAATCCTACATTTCGGCCCCGCTGAGCTGCTATGGGAGTGCTGCGAACGTTTCACTTGCGAATGCCGAGATGCAATCGACGACCGGGCGGCAGAGAGTTACCCCAAGGTGCAGCATAGCCAATCCTTAAGTACGGCTTCGTCTATTACTGCTCCGGCGATGTGGCGTAATATAGTGCAGATATACACCCACCTTGGCATCACATACCCTAAAGACCGTCTACCCGCATTACAAGGTATAGCGAGTCAACTGTTCCAAGACGAAACGGCCTCCAAGGTACTCTCCGGCTTGTGGGAAGAGACGTTAGTTCTAGATCTGCTCTGGAGGTCAAAGTACCATCCTAGCGAATCAAGGATGGGAAGCCAACGGCATGCTCCTTCCTGGTCTTGGGCTAGCATGGAATCGGGGGTCTACTACGATCTCGACACAACGAGTGCCACTGAGCACGCCTCGATCCAGGGGTTCCAGGTTGAGAAAGTTCAGCATGATAATCGCACAATAGTGGCAGCAAGGTCTATTGACGTGTCTGCGCTCGTACTACCCGGCAAGGTCTTTTACGGCACTTCTGACAACACTCCTGACGCTACTTCTGATGACACTTCCGACAGGGCGCGCCTCTTCGACCGTACGGCAGCGCTCCTGTTTGACCATGCTTGCCAGCTTGCTCCAACAAAAACGATTGATGGCCTAGTGCACAAGGAGTTCTACCCAGACTGGAACTATAGCAAACAGGGCAAGTACCACATACCACTTGGTACTATGCTGTATGGTGTTCTCATAGCCACGATTTACTCAACAACGGAAATCCGCGAATGGGGCCTGGTCATCAAGCATTCTGACAATGGCAGAAGGAAATTCGAGCGCGTGGGCTGCTTCTTTCGGGCACATCCCGTCAAGGAGCCTTATGATTCTCACGAACCTCGTAAACCGGCTGACGGCCCAGTGGTCTCTCTTCAGGAAATGTTCTCAGGGGCGGAAAGGACCACTGTTACGCTCGTATGATAGCATTGCGTCACAGGGGTTCCCTTTTAAACATACTTCTTTTCGTGCTTGTGGCGCTGCCGCGCGCTTTCGGACTCGCTAGGCCTCCGATTGGGAATTTCTAGCATTTCTTTCTCTTTTGCCGCAGATCAATGAGCGCATCAAAAAAGGGAGCGTGGGTCTCAAAGGATCGTCTCCTTTTGCACCATAGGTTAGTGAGCATCATAAAGCATACCGGGGAGGGTACCTTGGAGGCCTTCAGGTGGACATTCGCGCGGCCCATCAGGTGTTTTGTGCTATCAGTATTGTCCTACGTTCTCCCATGCACGAAGTTCTCATTGGTCACGCCTTCCCCATGGCGTGGCTGACTAATCATTAGGCAGCCATATCCCTCGACCTCACCCCTCAGCCTTCAGACCCAATCTCACACTTCGACATTTCCTCTGGAACGACAAGCGGAAAACACCACGAGGCCGGCATCAGCACGAAGTATTACTCATAATGCATTACTTAGGAGCCGGCAATTTCCCCCGAAATGACGTCTGAGCACACTTCACAGCCGCCACCATCCACGCTGCCCTCGTTGGAACGAGTGGATATAAGACGAGAACATAAGTTTGGTTGCCAATGCGACATATGGTACTACCATACTTCTGGATGTTATTCTAACACACGAGGTGTAACTCTGAAAGAGTTACGGCCATCAGCGCAACGAGCTTGTGGCAACTGTGAAGCTCTTTGGGAAATCACAACGTCCATCATACCTTTTGGTAAGCTGGATCAATATCATTTATATCATATCTTTACACAGGGGTTCGGGCTCCCGAGCAGGAGCCGGCTCCTGTTGTCGGGTCAGTCGGACGCGCATTGGGAGCTCTTCCAATTACCAGGTACCAGAACTCATTTTCGCTTCAATGGATTCGAATGGTAGACTGACCATCGATCAAGAAGAAACGGTCCCTTGGTCAGCCATATTGCCTGCGAACCTCGTGCCTGGGAACACTGCATCAGCATTGTCTCTTAACGCCGCCCTTGGCTGGTTAGGCGAATGCGATGCGAACCACGAAAGGTGTAATTTAGCCTCCAAGGGCAGACTCTTCATGCCTCCTCGAATCATCGATGTGGCCTGTTTTGACTCAGAGCGCTCCGTCCGGGTCGTAGAGACCACCCCAAGTGTTGCAGGCAAATATCTGTGTCTGAGTCATTGCTGGGGCACCGTGAGCAAACCACTGCAAACCACCTCATCTAACATCGAGGAGATGAAACGTGGCATATCACTGTCTAGCCTCCCGCGGACTTTCCGAGACGCGGTGGACTTTGTTCGACGTTTGAACTTCAAATATCTCTGGATTGGTGAGGACCGTCCATTTTCCGCGGCGATCGTCGGACGAAGCTGACGGTGATGAGATTCTCTCTGCATAATACAAGACGACGAGAAAGACTGGCTTCGGCACGTTAAATTAATGGCTCAGATCTATCAACATTCGTACCTCACGTTAGCCGCCACGGGGTCAAGTGATAGCACTGGTGGCTGCTACAGTTCTACCAATGCATACATGGCCAAGGTGGTCACTGCCAACTTTCAAGAAGACCGAGTCTCTTCGATCAACTACCGGAGAGCGCTTCCTCATTGGTGGAATCCATCGGAGGATAACAACAAAGACTTCTTACGCGCGTTTGACGATGAGCTTCCGCTCCTGAATCGAGCCTGGTGCTTCCAGGAACGGATGTTATCGCCCAGAGTACTTCACTTTGGCCCTGCGGAGCTCCTATGGGAATGCATGCAAACGTACAGCTGTGAGTGCACGAGGGGAATCCGAGTGTACGAAGGCCACAACAAACGGAAGCATATCGAAAGCCTGGAGAAAGCTTCAGAAGAGGAGTTGTCAACTCGCTGGCGGGAGATAGTATCAGAATACTCTCAGCTAGACATCACATATCCCTCGGATCGCCTGCCGGCCTTGCTAGGAGTTGCAACACAGATGCTGGCGCTGTCACCATCTCGGATCATATGTGGCTCCTGGGAAAGCTCTTTATTGCATGACCTGCTATGGCAGGCTTCTCGACAAAGCCGTGCACCAAAGTGCCGGCCTTCTGGTTTGGTATATCCAACATGGTCCTGGCTGTCCAGCTTGGAAAAAGTGCACTATCCCTTCGACCCAACGGCGGAGATTGAGCTGCGCGCGAGAATCGAGAAAGTCGAGCCTAAAAGGGGAGAGGATGAGAAGGACGGGGTCGTCTTCTGGGCATCTCTCGCCATATCGGCGCCGGTGATCTCTGTGACTTTGAGCATTAAGGAAACGGAATTTTGGGAACCCTGGACCCCATGCGCAATTCATCGCATCGGCCAACCTCCATGGTCGTACGTACTCGAAATTGAGCCGGACTACAATTACGACTCCGAAGGACCCGGCCATCTACAGCATGGAACCGCCCTGTGCTGCGTGCACATAGCAACAGAATCCGCGCCCATGATCGGCGACCTGTGGGAGATAGGGCTGGTACTGATATGCCGTGATGAGGAAAAGGGTGTATACGAAAGGGTTGGGTTGGTGAGGAATCGTCTGGGTGAATTTTTGGCGGCATTAAAAGCTAGTGGAGAGTGGAAAACGATTACGCTGGTTTAGCAGAAGATACACCGCAGCAAGTTGTACCTAAGGAGACCTTTCCTTGCGCAGATTCAATGTCCCTCTCCATGCTCAAATCTGGCGTGCACAGGGCCAAACAGCGCAGAATGGCCCAACCACAGCTAGTGACAACCAAGCTCGAATCCTTAAGAAGACGTTATCCCGATTCGTGACTCTTCATTTTAGGATCTCACTTTGCAACGTTCTTACGGCATTTGCCATGTTGGTGGAACAGGGAAGAGGCTCACTACGAAACCCCGCGAAAAGAATTGGATGAATTCCACTTCAAATCCCGCGAAGCCTTGCTGTAGGGAGTTAGTGTCGAGGGCGTTGCAGCAAGAGAAACGAGGTTGATGCCAAGACACCCCCCCAATCAGGAAAAGCCGCAAACGCTTAGTCATCACAAATATTCGCACCTCGAACATCACGCAGCATTCAACAACACATCCCCATCCGCCGCCATGCCGCCCCGGCTCAGGGCCGTCCGCCTGGCCTCCTCGCTGCTCTCGAAACCGCATACCTCACCGGTCACACCATTGCTCGCGCCGCTCCTCGTCCCCGCCCAGCAGCGCTCCGCCTCCATCCTCTCCTCGCTCTCCGACACCAAAGGCGCGTACAGCAAGAGGATACGGCGCGGCCGTGGCCCCGCCTCGGGAAAGGGAAAGACCGCCGGACGCGGGCAGAAGGGCCAGCATGCGCATGGAAAGGTGCCGGCGGGCTTCCAGGGCGGGCAGACGCCGCTGGAGATCACGCGGCCGGTGAGGGGGAGGAATAAATTCAATCCGTGAGTGGAGTTCAGCTGGGATGTCTACACTGGAGAGGACGATGACGGGGAGATGTTGGCGCTGCAATTGCGTGGTTTGGAGCACGAGTGCTGATGCGCGTATTGCAGGTTCAAGGTCGAAATGTCGCCTGTCAATCTCGACCGCATACAGTCGTGGATAGACCAGGGCCGCCTGGACCCCTCGAAGCCGATTACGATGAAGGAGCTGCACAAGTCGCGGTGTCTGCATGGCGTCAAGAGGCATGGCGTGAAACTGCTTGGGAGAGTACGTCTGACGGCATTTCCTAACCTCAAACCCTTCCTACTCTCCTCGTTCGCCTGCACGAGAAATCCATTTCGGAAGAAGAGAAACACACAGCCTGAACATTCTCAGCTTGGGGCTGGGTGCATCGACATGGCATACACGAGGCTGGCCGAATCCTTCGGCGCTCAGCACACCAAAACCAATCCAACTCCGACCCCAGCCTCTCCATCCGACCCCTCCTTGCTTTCCTACTTCTGTTCTGAGTAATTGATTCCAACAACAAATCTCACCTAATATTAACCCCTCTCGCATGCCTTGCTAATATTTTGTCATGTAGAACGCCGATCAGCTGAAGTCCGCCATCAACATCATCGTATCCCGCGCCTCAGCCACAGCCATCGCGCACATCGAGGCGCTTGGCGGAACGGTAACAACGCGCTTCTACTCCCCGACGGCCATCAAGCGCGTCCTGAAGGGCGACTCGCACCCGGTAATCTCGCTCCAGTCCGACGCCGAACTCGTCGCTCGCGCCGCCAGCTCTCTCATATCGTCCTCCGTCCTCGAATCGCTCCAGAAGGCGCTCGCCTCGCCGGACACGCCCCAAGAAGCGAAGCACGAGGCGGTTAGCGCCGTGATGAAGGCGGTGGGCGAGAAGTACAAGTACAGGCTGCCTGACGCAACGGCGAGAAAGGACATTGAATACTACCGCGATCCGGCGCATAGAGGGTATTTGAGCTATACGGTGAAGGAGGGCGAGAGCCCGAGTTTGTTCTTCAAGACGCCGGGTGAGGCGAAGGACAGGAGGAAGCAGACGGCGCGGAGAGCGGCTGCAAAGGCGAGCGCGGACAACAGGCTGTTCTAGTGGTATTTGGGGTGTTGATGCGAGTGTAGGATACAGGCCGTCATACTGTAGATATAGATGTACATTCATCAAGGGGGTGTTCAAAGCATGTTCTACTGGCTGTTGACTTGGCCGTGCTCTGCGAAGTCATATTCGTCGTCAAGTGACGTGCGAGGGATTGCAGTGAGGAATGAGGCCCATGGACGGGTTTCCACGATAGTGGAGACGCAATTGAGGCCTCAGCTTGACGTGGCATATGAGCTGGGCGGACTGCAGACTGCGAAGAGTCGCAGATACAAGAAAGGCTGTACTCTGCAGACATGCGGCAAGTAGCGGCTAAAACGAGCAGTTTCTAGGAAACAGCGAAAATCTGGTCAGTTCGATGTAGCACTTGGTGCTCTGATCACTCGCTCGCCCACGAGCACCTATGCAGATGATGATGGGTGTTCGACCCAGAAGCCGTCCTTCTCGGATTAGTTTCCGAATGAGACGATACTATGCTCACAGCCTATGTAGACGATGGACATGCGACCTGGAGGCTGGGCAATCGTGCCGATTGCCTCCCGAACATGCTTCCGCAAAAGACAAACTCGTCTGTTTTGAATCGATGCAGTTGGCATGTTGGACGGTGTTCGGAGGCTCAATAGAGGTTGTTGTGCGTGTAAAGTTGGCCACGTTGTTATGAGGTGAGCGGGCTGTCTAACGGCTGCAACCGGACAGCCAGGCGAAGCAATCATGCGGCCCTACATTGGTGCTTCAGACTGGGCGCTGGGCGGCGGTGCCGCGGCTTTCCGAATGGCTGTGCTGGGCAATCTGGTCATTCTAAAGACACTGTCCTCAATTCGAGATGAGCGGTTCCTGGTGCTTCCTGTCTATGGTGCAATGTCGGCAACGTCGGACGGAGATGCTCCGTGTACTCTGTACACTGGTGGGGAGTCTGCGCTCCTTGCTGGAGGTGATCTGGAGAAATGAGATCAAATGTACGAGATGAAACGAAATGGCCTTCCTGAATGAGTTTGAATGGACGAAATGAGACGGCGGACGCAGAGTGAGATCAGGTTGTGTGTTGAATCAAGTACCGGAATGAACGAGGCTTCCTTGTTGCGCTTGACGTGTTCGTCCGGCTAGTGGATGCTTCGGCGGGTAGGCAATCAAGAAGGAACGCACAATGCAGGACAAAAACGCTGTCTGACCTGTAGGAGGCCCTTTCCGCAACTTGAGAGATAATCAGCAACCGAGACAACAGTATTGAGCTAAGAAAAGATGATTGCATGCGCGACAATCAGCAATAATGTTGGACGTCCGGGAGGGCCAGGGCAAATGTGCAGCGTGTTGCAGATTCATATCGTTCGGGTATCGTACTATGTCGCAGGGCGAGATGCAGTAAGTGGTTCAATACTTCGAGACCCGAGCCAAAGGATGCTGCCGCGGTGAGAGTAATACCCTTGGGTGTGGACTTGGCGTCTCGGTCGTCGAGAGATGATGCCGGCCCTCCTAACACCTCTCAAGTACGGAGCACAAACATGTACAAGGCTGTTTAGGGTCCATCTCCGAAACAGATTCAGCCGGCCGGGACTCGTACTCCATGGACAGGGCAGATGCAGATCAAAGGCAGCGCTTTGCACTTGCGGATGGACGTGTGACCGGTTGGGATATGCCGCCGTGTTGCAGAGAAAGAACTGGTCAGACCAGAGGGGACGGAAGAGAAAAAAGAGCTTCGAGTGGAGCCGGAAGAAGCGGGTTTGAACAAAGAAAGCGCTGGCAGGGGTCACTGCCACGACCAAGCGACGGCTGCAGGAATTCTCGAACGGTGTCACGAGGCGGAGCGGAGCTAGCTAGCAGGATGACACCCCGTCAATAATGGCGAGGCAAAAAGAACTGCTTCCAGTAAGCGCGTCGCCGAGTATTGCGTGGTTATAGACGTGTACCGAGAGAGGCTGCTGTGTTCGGTGGGGGAGGGATTTTGTTGGTCGCCACCGCTGTGCGCGCTAGTGGAACAATTCACGCGTCTTTCAGCGTTGCGCTCACGGCTGCTTGCGGCATCTTGCTTTTGGGGTCATTCTGCTCGCGCTACGCAGGCGGTGGTGGGATGAAGAACCCAACCCCCAACTGCGTCTGGCGCTGTCCACGGTCAACGCACTGTTCCGAGGAGATCCCCGCAGAGAGCAGCATGAGTGGCGTGGACGGCTGTATGGCGATTTGCGTGCGGCCAGAGTACGTGCCGGGTGCATGCGGTGAAGCGGTCCAACAATAGCCTCAAGAGGGGAGTGGTGAGCGAGCGCGAGCGGCGACGATTGATCCGATCCGGCATGTGCGACGTCGACAGATCATGCTGCTCGAAAGGCGCGTCGTGTGGTGTCGCTGGGCCATGGCGATTAGCTGCATCGGCGCCTTGTCCGGTCGAACAGAGGAGCCTGGGATGCCGGGCGAGTGTGGAAGGTGGTGTAGAGTGTCGGCTGCCTTGTCGACCTTGCATGAAAGCGTTTAGCCTTTCGCGGCGCAGATTCGCGGCAGGCGAGGAAGACTCTGCTCGAAAATTGTCAGAGTATTGCTGCCGATTCCGGGTGTCAGCGAAATGCGGTGCAGCGCGTGGGTGGAGGTGCATTTTGCGAAGGCGTCTCGCCAACGTGCCGGCGACTAGGCGACGCACCACATGATTCAGTCCGGATTGATAGGCAGCCTGGCGCAATATTTGGCGATAGCGACACGCTCGGCGTTGGTGGACAGGGAGAGAGCGTCCTGCGCTGAAATCTCGAAACTTGGAACACGCTGATGGTCGCACAGGCAAGGCTGGCCGGTGACAACTCACCCAACCACTCAGATGAAGTGGCCGCGATGGAGACAAAACGTGTGGCGGCATGCATCCCCGAGGGTGCGAACCTCTCGGAGTGCCATTGCAGGGCCACGAGGAGCGAATCGGGAAGCCACGTCCTCCAGGGGGACGTGGCCCTATTGGCTGTGAGCCGTTCAGGAGGTCACTCTGAGAGAACGATCGGCCTGCAAACCGCCCCCTGGCCCAAACCTCCGTGACAAGGCCAGCACACTCGGGATACAGATTACAGGCGCCGCTCACCTTGGTCAGCTCTGCATCGACGGCGGGCGGACGACCCGTCAGGGCGCTGCTGGTCTCGGGATCGTAGGCCACCACCGCCAATATTCCTGCAAATATCTCCACGGCGGGCGCAAATCGCGAGCTGACGGTGTTTCGTATGCAGCACCCATCGCCTCCCCAGCCGTAGGAAGACCCAAGTACGTACTCGCGGCGTCGCGGGCCAGTCAGGACTCCGTGACACAGTCAGATGCGAAGAAAAACCTGTGCCCAGGTGGCTGCATCTAAAGGGATAATGACACAATGGCGGTACAAGACCCTCATAGTGGTCGGGTACTAGGCGCGGTATGATCCATCAAACCGGTGATGGATGCCTGGGATTCGGGTCGTCTAAGCGGGCTCAGGAGCTCATTTGTCGGTGCCTACTTTTCACCGCAAAGCGGGGGCAGAGTGGGATCGCAAGACGACGGGCAAAGAGGCTAAACTCAACCGAGCGACGTCGAGACCTGCAGCCGAGAAGGCTCGCCACACTCGTACCTAACGGAAGCACGGGCAGGGATGGCAAGAGTGGCCGTGTTCACAGCCTTGACGCTTCTCAAACGACGTCCAAGTCTAGCCGGGGTCATGCGTTGAGGTGGTGCGCGTAAGCCGAGGGCACCGTTGGTGCTTCCGGCCGGCGGTCTGCTGCTCCATATTCCTTCGGCCCAATGCGGAATGCAGCGATGTAGCTATCTACCGGAACCAAGGCCTCCTTTGATGAGACCTATGATCCTGCGTATGTTGTATGCCGCCAGCAGATGCACCAACGAGGCGCAAGTCTCGACTTATCATCGTACATCGTACGGGGGCCGCAGCGATCGCGGGACAGTCGTGCAGAAGGCAAAACGAAAAAAACCAAGGCGTGAAGGTTCGAGCTGCTGCCTCCCATGGATTCCGATAGAGTTTTCATCTCCACCGGCATCCTCAACCACTCAGACACGATAGTGCCACGACATCGTGACGGATGCCGTCACCCCGAAAGGCTTGCCGCATGGGAGAAATGCACTAACTCGACCCTTGGGGGCCCTCTCGGCACAGGCTGGAAGGTTGTTGAAGATAGCGAGCCGAAATCATCATCGTCGATAGATCCATAGTGTGATGTACGCGTCGAGTCCAAGGCGCGGTACGTCTCAGCGCGGCGCGCCGTGGGCCAGCTAATAATGCTGCCACATGCAGCCTAGCCCGGTCTTACAGCGCCTCACCTGGGCAACGACTCGCGCTCGTAAATGTGAGAACAGGCTGCGGGGCCACCTGAACCAGATGCCGGATCTCCCCCGTATCACGCCTTCATCAGCCATGGGTCTTCCTCCACGCCTGCACTAGCATTATCATCTCCACAATATTGCTGGTGTTGCTCGGTCTGGCGGGATCGCTCTCGCACAGGTGGGCGTATCAGGGAGGTGCAGTCTTATGGAGGACTGCATCACCATTATTGCTGGCACCCCTCCTACCCACGCTCGGAGTATCACAATATCGCCAGTTCACTAACGGCGACCAGGCTCGCAAACGCCCGTCTAAATCAAGCATGGCTTGCAGCGGATGTGCCGCCGCCCGTATCGTATTCTGACTAATGTACGGTAACCGCCTTATCCGGAGCATGCAGTGAGCTCACGGCATCTATGGATCGTGTACTTGGTTAACCACGACGGTGTCGATTTGAACGCGATGCCCATATTTGTTTGATCAGTCGCCGGGCGAAGGTATCTCCGGAATTGGGAATCGGACTCCCTTCGAGCCTGTTGTGGCCCAAGCCGTTGCAAGGACGACTCCCAAACCTTGAACCAATCTCGAACGTTCCCAAGAGCTCTGCAGAGGTATGCGAGAACAGTGATCGTCGGAGTCCCAGGTCCAACCGACAATACCTGCAAGCACGGCCGCAGTCGCAGCGAGGGCGTACTTAGAGGCAGTTCGATCCCAGGCATGTCGAAGTTTGGACAACTTGTCGAAAGTTTCGATCTTGACTCTAGCGTGTCCATACCTCTTCTCAGACTCGCGCAGACGTAGTCATGTTGACAAAGGAGCAGTCGCAGGCCTCATGCGGACAGGTGTAAGCGAGGAAGCAGGAATATTTCGCATGTTTTCCATGCCACTGCTGTTGCAGCGGGGCACTTAGCCTCGTCTTGTACCATTGCCCCCGAGCAGTTGGCTTGATCGTCCATCTCCTTCTAGGCAAAGTTCTCAGTGCCGAAGGTCAAATCGGTGTTCTAGGGTTGGGTGAAAGAGGTAGGCCAGGTTCCAAATGAGTGTGCCTCGTAATGTGCTACCGCGAAGTAAATGGCGTCACGGGCCTTGTTGAGGTCCAACATGTGTGGGCAAAGACAATATTGACCCTGAGCGATTACGTGAGTGTTTCGTATTACAGTACGAGCCGGATACGGAAGGCGGTATCCGATGGCGGGCAGCCGTGTCGCATTTCGTTGGCCGCTGCACCCCACTCTCACACATCGATTATTCGTAGCGATCACGGCACCGGCGCAAACACAAATTGACAGCTTTCGTCACTCGGTGCTGCGTCTCCCTTGCGCTGCGCCCTCCAGTGCATTGTCATGTCGCGGTTGCACGGTTAGTGCTGCTCGGGGCCACTGGGGGCGTCGCTCAATCATGCCAGCGTCCTTCCACGGGCGCCAAGCGGAAGGCCGATTCGAAAAGCAATATTGCTCGATGGTTGACAGCGGACTCGCGAGCCGCGGGCGCTGCAGTGCGGTGGTTGCATTCCGCAGCCCTTGGGCGTCAAGATGCGTTTGCAAAGAGGCCGTCTCCGGCCTGCGTTCGCGGCCGGCAGGGAGGACACACCAGCGAACCCCAGCCAACGTCCAGCTCTATCCAAGCAGGGTGGCAGGCCGGAAGTGACGGTGCAGAGTCTAAGCGGCGCGGGTATCGATATGTCGATACGTGTTTCGCAGGGGCCGCTGGAGGACGGCGGTCCTGCGGTGCAGAGTGCCTCAACTTGGAACGGCGCAAGGTGGCCTCAGTGAAGTCCCCCTAGCATATGTGTGATTCGCCGGACGCGAGGATGGCCGAGGAAGCGGTCGGCGACGACGGGCGTTTTAATTGGGACGCAGCGCAATTTGCAAGAGAGGATTCACGATCAGCAGCTTGGTCGACCTCAGCCTGCAAAAAAGCGTCGCGTTGGACAGGGTTCGGGCTCGGAATTAGATGAGGATTAGGGTAAGACGATATTAGGCCAGCGAGCCACGGCGGTTTCGCTGCTCGTATCCCTCCTGATACATACCGCTGGCGGCAGCACCGCAGACTCGCCGTCGCCGTATGCGCGCTCAGGGCTCGCCGCCGCTCGTTGGCCCCGCTTGCGAAGCACGGCGGAGTGGTGCAGAGCGGATGGCCACTCGCAGGGCGCCAGCAGCAAATCAAACGCGGCATGGGCGGAATGATGCGGGCGCGAAATGCCATTCCAGACCGCCCGCCGTGTCTGATGATTATTGATGGGTGGAGGGACCGATGCTCTTGTGTGTGCGATGCTTGCTGGCCGAGCTGCACAGCGCTATCCGTGGAGTTGCCTCTGGCCCATGCCTAACCTCAGCCCGCTTACGGAGAGCTAGTGTAAAAGTTAGATACAGGCTGGGCCGGCGCCGCGGGATCTGGGTGGCAGCGCGCCGTCGCAAGCAGTCTTTTGCGTCGTATGAGTGTGCTCAGCGTGCCCTGACGGTCGCTGCGTAAGGGATCTTGCTCGTGGTCGCGCAGGCGGGCGGTGGGCGGGCTGCATCGCCTCTCCTGCTGAGCGGCGGCGGCCCAATCAGCGGCGCTGCGGGCTGCTGAGGCGGACCATGCTGGAGGTTGGCGATGCTGGCCGCGGCGGCGCAGTAGGCTAGGGCAGCGCGCACGCATCGGGGCAAGCACGGCGAAATAGCAGGCCTTGGGCGACGCGACTGGGTTGCAGCGTTGCGGGTCAGATGGCGGTCGCCGGCGTGAATAATCAAATCCCATGACGGCGGACCGCGTCGCAGCACACGCTCGCCGGTGGTCGAGGGCTGAGGTGACGGCCAATCCGCCGCCGCAAACGAGCGCAGCGCAATCATGGCCTGTCTGAGCCCTTCTTCGTGACTCTTGCTGGCCGCATCCGGGCGCGGGCCTGCGCACTGCGCTAAGCATGACTACGTCCACGGCAGCCAGCGCTCGCCCGCGTACAGTATGACCTGCTGTCGCGCGCACCACGACTGGGCTACGACTGGGCCGCGGAGGGTGGCTAGCGGAGAGCAGCCCATCCATGAATCCACCCACGAATCCATCCAGGAGTGCCGCCGTCCATCCACCCATCCACCATCCACCCATGGTGCTGCAGCCCGGGATGGCTTCTGTGTCGTGACCGGCGGGTTTGCTGTGCTTTGTCCATAATTAACCCCGCCCGCGACAGGGGCCGCGCCTTCCCTCTTTCTGCGCGGCCTGCCTTCCTTTCACCACCCCCGGTCGCGGCTGCTGCGCGGGCCCGTGCGGCCGCGGTTGATGTCAGAAGCTGCTTCTCCTTCTGGATCAGCCTCTTGGGGCGTCGCGCTGCCCATGCCACTATGCCTGGAACCTTCCGAGCCTTCACACGGAGTCGTGAATTATGTTTAATCACAACCCAACGGCCCCAAGCCATGTCTGCGCAAGCAGCACGCGGCCCGCCAACAATCTGCCTCCTGCGTCCCTACCGCTACAATCGCCCGCCCGCCGCCGCCTCCCTGCCGCTCCCGGCCTAGCAGCCTCCAACGACGGTGAACAGGCCTCACCACCGCTTCCTTTATTGTACCCGCGCCTGCACCCTCCTTTGCCTCACCTCGCACCTCCCCTCGCCAGCCTCGAACCGCCCGTCGCCCCCGGAAACAGGGTTGCATCCATTGGCCAGCAGCATATTTGCGAGAGCATACCGTCAACAACGCCCTCTCCGTCTCCTTGCGTGCCCTAGCTCCTGCCCGCACCACCCGTCACCCCGTTCTGGCCATGCAGTGAAGGAGGGAGTGCACGCAATCTCAAGAGCCAGCCTTGCTCATGCCTGCCGCCGCCACCTGTTGAAGAGCAGCCTTCCTTCCCCTCCCCTCACCGTCACCGGATCCACCTTCCCAACCACGCCGCCCACATGCTCGAGCTACAGCTTCCGCACCCAATGCCTCACGCCGTCCCGCGGGACCGCTCTCTCGACTTCTACTCCTCCTCCCGCCCTGCCTCCAAGCTGGACTCCTCCTTCCAGATGCAGCTCCCGGTGCCTAGGATCGCCAACCGCCATGGCCTCGATATGCTGCGGACGGCGCCCAGGCCGCCGCTCACACCTCCTTCCGATCACCCAGGCTCAGCGGTGAGGGTCGTGTCGCTGCCGCCTACCGAAGGCGCCGGCCACGAGTATGGATATCAATTGCCGGCAATTGGCAACTCCAGAACAGTCACAGCTCGGTCCAGCCCCTCAAGACAGCCCCAGCAGCAGCCCCAAGACATGAACCAGCAGCGGAAGAAGTGGTCCATCTCCCCCAATCTCAGGATACCGCCGTCAATCAGGACTCCCCAGGAGGGACTGCCCCAGCTGGCAGCAGAGGTGAGTGCAGCAGGAGAAGCGGGCATGTCCAGTACTGACGTATTCAGGTGACATGCCTCTTCTGGTTCGAAAGCTCCACCACCCTCAAGCAGGTCGTGGACACGAATTCACCGAAAATACCGATCCAACCGCTCGTACCCGACGCCATTCCCACAACAGGTTTCAGGAAGTGGGTGGCGACAATATTGACGACCACGCAGGTGGCCCAAAATGTGATCCTACTCGCCCTACTCTTCATCTACAAGCTAAAGCTCACCAATCCGACGGTGAAGGGCAAGCCAGGCAGCGAGTACCGTCTCCTGACTGTGGCGCTCATGCTGGGCAACAAGTTCCTGGACGACAACACGTACACGAACAAGACTTGGGCCGAAGTCTCCGGGATCTCAGTGCAGGAGGTGCATATCATGGAGGTGGAGTTTCTCAGTAACATGAGGTACAGCCTCTTCACCTCGCAGAAGAAGTGGGAGGAGTGGCACGTCATTCTGGGCAAGTTCGGCACCTTCTTTGATCGAGCCTCCAAAACGCCCGCCTCGGGCGCCATCAGCCCGATTGGGCCGCCGACGCCTTCACTACAGGTTCCCCAGAACTTTGTACCCTCACCTCCTACGGTCATGCAGACATCGCCGCCAACGTCGATGATGTACTCGCCGGTCCATCCATACTCCAACACCCCTCTCCTGCAGCCTCAGGCTACATCGACTGCAGTATCGCCAATTGGCCCGCTGCCGGATATCGGCCCACTTATCCAACGCAAACGGAGCACTGATAATAGCGCCGAACCACCGCCAAAGAGGCAAGCGCACGGATTCGCTCCAGGACCGTACAGCAATGCACCGCTCATTCCAACATTACAAGCGCCCATCAACAGGTCGTTCGAGCCGCCGCCATCCATGAATCGCCTTCCGCCGCTGCCCAGTTTGTCGATCCCCACGCCACAGTCAAACCCGCCTGTGCAGGTGAAGAACTGGTCGGACCTTCCTTTGCCCGCGCCTGGAAGCCGTTCCATGGCAATGGTATACCCTCCGCCTGTCCAATGGCAGCACCCCGTCAGCACACCGACTTCTACGGCTCCACCCCCCTTCCCACCAACATACACGCCAACCGCAGACCGGTCCCGCCAAGTCAGCCCTTATCCGCCGTCCGCCGGTTCGTCCCCCGTGAGCGCCACCTTCCCTTCGTCGGGCCAGAGGCAGTTATCTCCGTCATACTTTCTTAATCAACGGCAGTCGCCATACCGCCCGGTTCGCGGTGTCCACACCCTTCTCGTGCCGCCACCCTCGACCTCCATGCACAATCCTGCCCGTCATATTGCATTCGACCAGATGCAGTACCAGCCGTTGGGTCGCCCTATGACCGAACGTAGGGTCGGGCCGCTGCCCTATATGGATGCCTGGTCAGAGGGACACCACTACAATCAGCTCCCCATCCCACAACAGCCGGTGTTCCGCTGAAGCCGAGCCGGCATTCCCTTCTCTGTACATCTTCACGCATCGGGCTAGAGCTTTCGATGATCATCTCAACATTTTTTCGATTTTGGTTTTCTGCTGCGTTCAGCGTGCATTGCATCGGGCGGCATTTCCTTGGTCCTTTACGCTGGTTGATTCTTCCCAGCCTTTCCTTTGCATCATACATCGGCATTTGCAGGCGTTGTATTTTACTATTGGACCGATCGAGTCCACGGACCGGTTCTTAGCTTGAGTACCCACAGAGGCTTGGGCAACCACGGATATCTTAGACATCTTGGGGGCATGGTTAGGAAAGGATCGAGCTGCCAGTATGGATGCAGCGATGCTAGTCTAGTTGCCGTCCGGAATGAGACAAACATCTGGTCTCAAATGGCGATGGCTGAATTTGAGACATTTGCACGGCACATGTGCGGTCCGTTGAGTGATTGAATGATGGTGATGAACTTTAGGATGACCCGAGTGGTGATGCGCACGGGCGACGTTACTTTTCCAGCCCGATGATTGGTGGACGAGAAATTTGGGCAACCGCTCGCTTCCGCCTGCCCCCTGCGGAGAGTGCGGGGTTCCTTCCTCCTTTCCTTCAACACGGGAACCGAAAGCGAGATGACGAGTAAGGCATCCGCAGTACGAATCTCCCAATTTCTCTGCGACTGCCTACCGCGGCGTCATTCGCGGTCTACGGTAATGATGAAGCGTACTACGCGGCGCCAGTTTTGCGCCCGTTGGATGATGGGCCGGCGCCGGCGTTGCATAAACGATTTATTGTGTTGGAACGTTGGGAGGCTGCGCAATCCAGGTCGCGCATCAAACGTTCGCGTCGGCGTTGGGGTTGGTATTTGGGTTCGGTGTAGATGAGGTGAGGTGAGGTGAGCGTCATGATACGAACACCTCATTTCTTTCGTATTGTACCTCCCGATGGAGATGGCCCGAGACATGGGGACTGGTGTGGTGGGAGAGGACAGGATGAGGGGATGGGATGGGGATGGGGATGGGGGAGCCGAGCCGTGTTTCTGCTGCGTGTTTCGAGGGGAGCTGGGCTGGGCTGAGCTGGGGTGAGCTGAGCTGGGATGGGCTGAGCAGGAGGGTAAGGTTAGTGTGGGTGAACACCAATGGACAGATTTAGAGAAAGAGTAGCGACTTAGAAGGATCAAATACAGCACGAAGTGAGTAGGTTCTAATCACGTGCAGCTCAGCTCAGCTTCGATGCACCGGGATCCAACGATAGGACCAAGAGAGCGAGCTCCGCGCCATATGTTATCGTTTGATCTTGCCAGCCTCCAGGGCTGAAGCCGTTCTTTTAGACACTCGAAGAGAAGACAGCATTCGGACAGCGGGTGGAAGACGCCGCCAAGCTCGGATGCGCACGGACCTTCCCCGGCACCTCAACATCATTTCGTCCATTGTTGCTTCTGCTCTGGAACAGGACGACTCGTGGCATCGTTGACGGGACGCTTAGTGGGATGGGACCAGGTGTTCTCCTGAGGACATCACTGGACCGGAAAGCAAACCGCGAGCGAACACCAGAGCGCTCTGGGGGGTAGGTTTGCTATGGTATCTCAGCTATTTGCGCTCGCCCGCTAGTTACAGACACACCCCATACTAGGCTTGCTGAAGAATAATAGTACAATGGCCTCTTGAGAAGGTTGTTCGCCTTATCGTCAACGGCATCAGAGCGTCGGATACTCGTCCAGTGATGGTATCTCCGAGCCCCAGATTACCAGCATCAGCAGCACGCTCGTGGAATCTCTTCTTCCAGAACTCTCACCGCTCCCGCTCAGAGGCGATTGCCATCGTAGAGCGAGCCTACCCTGAGCGACCGAGCCGTGCCCGCGTTAAGCTCTTTATTCGAGTTCATGTCCTTGGAGCTGAGATCCGCGCAACGAAGCATCCACTCGCTCGCAACCCATACCCGACATTCCATTGCGGCGCCCTTCACCAGCAGCTCCTCGAGCGCTATCCTGAGTTGCCAGATCGGCAGGTTGAGCCAAGGGGTAAACCCCAAACTTGTAAGTCGCGCAACGAACGAGTTCAGGTTCTTCCACTGAGGAAACTCCTCGCTCCGCGCTTCATCGGTGGAGGTCGGATCTGAATGAATGTTAGCAGGAGGTTCTCGAGGCACGGAAGTGTGTCTGGTTTATACCGTTCCATTTCTCCCTCACGCAGAAGGATAGATTTGCAGATCTTTTCACAAAGCCGACTATATGTATTATTAGCTCAGCACCGAAGTGTAGAGGAGCATGGCTCACCGCTTTGTGTTTGGGGATAGCACGTCCCGTTTACGGAGGTTGTTCAGAGCATCAAGCAGGCTGTCAGCCACGGGTGGCAGGGTGGAATACAGCACATTATCGCGACGACCACTGATCAGACCTCCCAAAGGATTTCGCCCACATCGGAGCCCTCGCCGGTTGCTTTGCGGAGGATGTCGATGTCGTCGGCAAGCTTTCGGGCCGGCTGGGTACTAAAGATTGCCTTAGTACGTTGAAAATGGCTCGCCCCTACTTCGTGAAGCTAATGTCTTCCACAGACTGCAGATTGACGTCCGAACGGAAGTCGATATTGGTATCTCCAGGTGGACCGCACACGATTCTTGATGGTCTCTTCGAGCTCCTTGCGGACCTCCGTCAGGTCCAGCTGCAGGTTCTCGTTCTTAGCCTTAAAAAATGCCGCCTCAGTCTGGATGCCTGCCGAGCGCTTCATCTCTTCCTGGCTCCGGAAATTCTTAGCCTTGAGGTCGTCGATCTTGCTCACGAGGCTCTCGATATTATTTATCGCCGTGATCTGGTCGATCTGCTGTTGGTTGTCCCTCTTCTCCTGCAGGCTGTCGACCTTGACGCTCAGCTTTGTATTGTTAGTAATAGGGTCGCTGTTAGTTATCTCTCTTCTTGGTGGGGACGTCCGCTTTCTGCTGCAGGCTATCAACCTTAATGCTTAGCTTTGTATTGTTGGCGATGGGGTCGCTGTTAAAGACGTCCACTTTTCTGCGAACTTCCGAGCGCTCGGCTTCGTATTATTGGCGGTGAGGTTAGTTATCTCCCCTCTCCTTAGTAAGGACGTCTACTTTCCTGCAGACTGTCAGCCTTTACGCTTAGCTTCGTATTGTCGGCGATGGGGTCGCTGTTGGTTGTCTCTGTTCTCCTTAGTAAGAACGCCCACCCCCCTGCAGACTCCTGACCTTGGCGCTTAGCTATGTATTATCAGCGATAAGGTCGCTGTTAGAGGCTTTGAGGTTGACGTTGTGCGGCTAAAGCTGCTCGTTCTCCTTCATCAACGCAAGCAGAGCGCCACGTAGCCAGTCACTAACTAACTGCGGTATCGTAGCTCTTGTACTTATATATCAGGAGCAAAAGGATCCAATCCTTCTGCTCTTTCAGTTATGACGCCTTATATATTCGGTAACATTATAACTAGGCTAGAAAATGAGGCTGCAGATAGGGAAGAAAATAAAAGAAAGGGAGGAAGGAAAGTGGAGATACAGGAAATATTAGAGGCAAAGCATGGAGAATAAAGCCGGGAATACAGGAAATATTAGGGGGAAAGGCAGGAAAAGAAAATACAATAGGGGAGAAGGAAACACAATCATCGAAAAACCACCGGAACACCAAACACCAAACACCGAAGAAAACGCAAAACCGAAATCACTCCATCGCCGCTAAGAAATCATCAAGGTCCATATCCATCCTCTCATCCTCCACCTCCACCACGCGCTGCTCTGGCTCTGGCTCTAGTTCCGCCTCACCAAACAAGTCCTGAATATCCTCCTTCCACTCAACCACCTGCCTCAGCTCGCGCACCTCATCCACCAGTCGCAGCAACGGATTCGTGCCCCGCCGAACCAGGACTTTGGGGAGACCGAAGGTGTCTTTAGGCGGCTCGGCAGGCTCCTTGCCATCGAACCCATGAATCTGATCGTTCCAGTAGGCCTGGTTGCCGATTAGGAAGGAGAACTCATTGGTGCGCGTGATGGCGGCGTTGGGACGCTCAAGGTGGTTTACGAATCCTCACCCTCTAGCATTTGCAGTATGAATGGCTCACCGCGGGGAGAGTTATGGCCCGTTACTCTCCACTCGCGACAGATGGAAAAGTCTGTGGGGGACTCCAGGCTTGGCGATGCGGAGAAAGAGAAGGCGATGCGGAGAAAGAGAAGGCGATGCGGAGAAAGAGAAGGCGATGCGGAGAAAGAGAAGGCGATACTACCGCGCTAAGATAGGATTTAAAAATTCTTAATCTTATACTATATATATGACTATTTACCTAATCATGAAAGTAGGTAAGCCATAGTACACACCCCATATCTCAGTCCTGGCTCGGGAAAGCCATTCGCGGAGGGGCCCAACACACCAAGACACCCCATGTGCCGGGTGTGTCCTCCATCTCTCCGTCGTTTAAAATGTACTTCTTCATTCGTAGGCCTACGGCTGTGTAGGTTACGGGATAGATACTACCTAGTCTTATCAGTTAAACCGCTGAACCTTTTGATAATACCCTTCTGCCTACGGAGTTTACAATATAGCGTCTTTTTTGCTAGTACTGTATATGTAGTATGCTCGCATCTTCTTTATAACGAGGTCGAGCGAATGGATGACTGCGCGTGGATACCGGCATTATAAAGACTGGGACTGAATCGGGGGAAACGCCTCGCTGGAGTAAGCCTGACGGATGATGTTTTGAATCAGTCTGGTAGGGCCTTCGTTCTTTGGGTAAGCAGGTTACATCTTCTCCTGAAACTGGGGATGGAAGATCTGATAGCGGAGGTGAGAGGGAGGTTGCAATACGTTCTCTTCATGGGTGTGTAGCGAGAAATAGTCCTATATTTCAGATACACAGTACGCGCAACGGAGGAACCGTGCCAGAGTTCGCTAGAATCGATGGGATTAAAAAGATGGTCTTCAGCTGCGCTTGTATCAAGTAAGTTCTAGTAATCATGTTGGTAGTTGTGTGGAGTTTCTCATATCTAGTAGAAGAAATTGTAGACAGTTGTTTCTTAGCCAACCTTCGCATCAGCCGTCCTGACGGACTTTAACCCTCTATCCTTTATTAAGTGCTTTATTAGATACAGACGAATCCTGTGTGGAAAAGCGATAGAATCTCTATACGGATATTACTTGAGTTGTTTATATGACAGTGTTAACATACTTTTAGCCCCTATAAGTTGCCTGTGAATTTTGAGAGAAATACTTCAAATCTCAGAACGTCCCAGGTGGCAGTTCGAAACTTCTCGTACTCACTGCCAAGAGGCTCACCTTCAGGCATACTGTATAATTTGGTTACCTTTCAGGTATATGTATATCGTGGGTGCATTAGGCGCAACGAGTGGGGTGCGAAGTTGACGCGGGGTGGGGCTTCGAGGAGAAAATAAGCGCAAGGTTTCGTGTAACCAACGCATGTGCGCCTTTGACACGCTGTGGCGCTTGATACTGGCTCTTGGCTATGCCACGTCGGCAAGACCTTGCTGATCTTTCCGTCTAGATAACACAATGCGACGAGTAGAATGTCTTGTTCTCCGCCTAACCGTTTCGAATTCTCCCCCTAGAAGCAGTGCCCGAATACGACCTCGTCCTCCCGGTAGTTGCTGGAGCCTATTATGTACTGGGAAATCGAACTGTGCATGCATGGGCTAAAAATAGGGACTTTTGCACACGACAAAACGTTGACATCGTGCCAATATCGCGCCCATATCACCTTCTCCCGAATATGGTCGCGCAAGCTAACCCCGTTACAACAACCTTCTCAGTCAGATCATGGCCTCACGGGTAAAAGAATTCTACTCGAAACCCTTGTCGGAGGCTCGGGTTAAAGAACGAACCGAAGATCGGCAACTACTTCAGCGGGACCAGCTGCCTTTACAACGAGCAGAGCAAACCGATTTCTCGATATTGACCCTCTTGAGTCCCTTTCAGTCGCATGTTCGACCATACTCCTTGGACGAGCAGCGAAGGCTGAGAGAATACTTATACAGAGACGAACCTTCGGTGATATCGGTAGAGACTACTCGTTCCTTACGCCCTACCAAGCTATCAACGATTCTCGACGCCGAATCTCTTTCCCGAACCTACTTCGAAGCACTTACGAGATGGGACGTTGTTCTCCAAGCGCTGCGCAGCGATGATCCCGATGGCATACAGACGAGCTGGGATGTCGCCCAAAGGAATACCTACAAGTGCCTCGCCGAGTGGTGGAATAATGAGGCGTATGACGCGGATAGCACAATGGATGTTCGCCGGTGGATAGAGCAGGCAGCACGTCTTCGTCTTCCAACCTGCGTTGTACCGAGGATTACTCGCTCTCAGTACAATCTGGTCTTGCTGTCCTTGTGGGTTCATCAGTTTGGGGATGAGCGACGCCGAGATAATGAGGATGGTCTACGCTTGACAGCTACATGCGAGGCAGCATCACACAGACTTGCAAATAGGGCAATTCGGTCTATTTACCCAACAAAGTTCGCCAAACTCACTCGTTCAGTGAGTCAGTCAAGAGTGTTTGACACGAGGAACATCAAATTGCCACGGACGGCAGCAGCGCATCCTTGTTCCTGGATTAATTGGAGACAATTGAAGGAAGAGCAGCTGGAATCTCCGTTCTTCTTATGGGATGTTGTAGAGTCGAGAACAGTCAGACGTCAGGATCTCATGAACCCACAGTATACGGCGATCAGCCATACATGGGGAAGATGGCAAACGGGCACACACTTCCGGACCCCTGCTGTTCCTTGGCCGATACCCGAAAACAGTTTGTTCGATGTTCGGGCACTACCTGATCTTCTCAAAGGTGCAAAGTTTCCGACTCGATACGTCTGGATGGATCTTTTATGCATCCCTCAGGCATTGGCACCGCTCGAACTAGAAGAAAGAGGAAGAACTGAAATCGCAAACCAAGCTGCGATATTCAAGCTATCAACATTATCGGGCGCCTGGCTCAACTTTGTCTCCTCTTGGACTGGCTTGGAGTCTGCCATCATCTGGCTCTCTCTTGTCTATCTGGAGTGTGGAGGCTATAGTGATGAAGAGACCAGTCGGCATATCACTGATGCTATGGAAGGGGAGCAGTTTCCTACCGGCCTCGTGACCTTGAAAGATGGCATTTACTTCTTGGAAGGCTGGTTTACTTCTCTTTGGACTTTGCAGGAAATATGTCTTTGCCCCGACATGATACTATACGACAAAGACTGGCGGCCTTTAGCCTTGGACAATTTTCGCATTCCTTTCGATCACGTCCCGGCGTTGAGCCGCATTTTACTCACTGCATCGTTTGGAGATGACCCTCACTGGCCGAACGCTGTTCGGGAGCTGTACTATGTCTTGATAGAGACTGGTATCCAAGACTTACCTACCATGACACCAACCACAGTTCTCCTATACGGGAATCAAAGATACTGCCAGGGTCGTCGAGCGGAAGCGATCATGTCGGTTATAGGAGCTAGAGATTGGTTCAATGATGACGATCCAGGGGGCGGTGAAAGCCTAATGGCTGGTCGTTATCCTTTTTCCTTCGTAAATGAAGTAAGGCAGAAATTGGGAGCCATATTCTTCGCGTGGGCGGATACAGATTATGAGGAAGTTAGTGCGACGGGTACCATGCTTCCTTTTTCCGAGAGCTCCTTCGCAAGCCGCAGAGCACTTGGTACTCTCCTTAACCCAACTGACCATCCTTCAGTAGCGACCTGGAAACTGCAGACAAATGGCCAAATGCTGTTGTCGCAAGTTGGGATTGTCGCGTCGACAACGCGAAGGCGTGTAGAGAAGCAAATGTTCATTTCCGCGCAGGTGCCCTTTGGTTCACCTTCAGCAGCAGGAGGTTATGGGGAGCAGGAAATACATCACTACTTGAGAACAGCATTGCCCACCAAGGAAAGACATGCTATTGCGCTATTGCGAATTGGAAACCATCGGTTATTCGGCTTGTTATTAGAGTTCGAAAGCCCGGGATGCTTTAGGAAGTTTGGCACCTTTGTGTGCAACATCGACGACAGCGTTCACGAGGAAATTCGATCTGGAGAACCGTATGAATTCCCTGCGTCGGAGCAGGTTGACTGGGTTGTCGTTTGATTAGTACTGTGAGAGTAATGAGATTATTTAATTCAACTACGAATTCTACTCACCTCTTACTTGTACTTGAAGTCTTAGACTCACTCCCAGTCCCACCAGTGACCACTCTACGCTAAGAAACGATCGGCAAGACCTCGCTCCAATACTACGTTAGCCGTAATCGGATTCTCTTTGAGTGGGTGTCCCCCTGCAGCGGTAAGGAGAACCATCTGTACATCTACTGCGAGCCTAACTCAATACCAACGCAAATGACTTTGTAGATAAGTACTATAGCTTACCTAACAGGAATTGCTGCTAGAAACTTGCAAGTACTAGCTTCACTCCCTTACTAAATTCTTCCACATGATGAGGCCGCGGCGTGTCAACAAAGGCTCTTGATTCCCCATCCAAAAAGGTTTATATTATAACAAAGATTAGGTAGTGTCCACCGGCACAATTCGAAGCAGATTTATAGAATTGACTTGCCATTCAAGTTGTGCAAATATCTGCAGGCCCAGCGCTCAAGAAGAGCTGAGACCATATGGCATGACGCTTCGTCACTGCCGCCGCAAATTGCATTCTGCGCTCTCGTAAAGCGAAGGCCTTATTTAGCTCGGAAGATTTACCCAAGTGGAATTCGAAGATATGCATCTTTCTGTACCAGATCCTTCAAACCGTATGTGTATCTTTGGACGAGCTCTCGTGCGGGGTTTGGGGGCCAGAAGCTTAGCAGCAAGGCTGAGGCATCAACCAACAAACCTGTTTATGGACAGTCGCAGAGAACGTGCCCCGCTATTTCCCACTAATCAACTGTTCTGCATGCGCCAACGCTGCTTCATAATCATTGTAGCACGTGTTTGCCGTCTTCGCCATAATTGTCTCGCTGTCAAAGCCACACTGTCATCGTCACCCACCATCACAACCCCCGCCCTCTTACTCTTAGGCCCTTCACTGCTGTCGCAACATACCTGCACCTATATTTTTCGTGTAAGTTGCGTGATCCTGCTGCCGTTAAAGATATCGCGTTATCCCTCGTCGCATTGCGCGAATGGGAGGTGCGCTGCTCGTCTCGGTCGCGCGATCCCTGTGGCTTGAGTATATTTACTGATACTGTGCCCTGCAGGCATGTGATTTTCGGTGAATGCTGAGTTAAATACTTCATTTCTGGGTTGTTGAACCACGAACGGTTCATATGGTCTCATAACCTTGGTAAGCTGCCGTACTAAACCCTGTATTTACCAACCGTTCTCTAACGCCTCAGCCCATATACATACCCTATGGTGACTAGCACAATTGCGGATTTCCTTGAGGCCGCAAATCAGGGGCGTTTATCTCCCAAATGCTTTTTAGAGGGCTGTATCGAAATTGGAAAAGAGACCAACGGCCCGACAGAAGACCAACTACAACCAACGCACTTGGACAATGAGCTAATTTCCAGCGCGGTCCCTACTTTTTCCACTCTCATTTCTCGCCTGAACCAGAGACAGGTCCTGCCAAAATACGTCTTGAATGTTCGTTTTCCCTATACCACGACAGAAATTAAACCGGAATTCAAGACCGCAGTGACCCAGCTTTCCATTTACTGTGCCCTACAGTCACTGGTACGGTTCCTAGAAGACCCCGATGGCCCTGAGCCTGTGCAATTCACATCTGAAATCCTCGCGGCAATGCACTTCTCTTACAGCACGCCTTCCAGCCATGATACTCTTATCCAGATAGATAGGCCTGAGACACAACCATCTTCTTCCGCCATTGACTCAACACATACTCCAGACGGACCATTTCGGGAATCTCCTATATCACCTGGAAGCGAGGCAGTGGAAAGTTCGCTAGGCGCGATCGCCGAGAATATTCTACAGACTAAGGAACGACCACAAAACAATGGCTTGAGTCAATATGGTCGTGCCTTGGACAGATGGAACGCCTTGCTCGATGCCAATCTCGACTATATTTCCAACATCAAAACCAGTTCTTCTATTCTATCAATCGTCGAAGTCAAATCGCTCCGAATTCTGTTAGAGTGGCAGAACGGCAAAATTTTCGGCACGTCTATTCCGACCCGATTTCTCAACGACGTTCACACAGCAGCTGTCGAAGGACGCGAAGAGGGACTGCTTGATGTTGGGAAACCGCCAATATCGATCAAGAACATTGATCTGTTTTGGTTCTACCACTACCCTTTCATTAAACTATGGCTAGCAGAGTTCTATTTGATATCGATACCGACTGCCGCCTCAGAGCGAACTGCCCTCAATAGGTATAGACAGGAGGCTTGTATCGTGGCAGCAACCGAGCGAGTATCCAGAGCAGTGTACTACGAGCTTTGTCAAGATATTGGGGTCGAGGTTGATCCATCTTTGTATGAGAATGGCTCGGGCGCATCGACTGAAAAGAGTGGTATTCTTGGAGATATTGAAGACCGCGGATTCGTCATCTACGAGAACATTGCACCAACTCCCGGTTATAACACTATCCGAAAGGCCCCTTTCTTTCCTTATACCTTACCTCAGACAATTTCAGCAACGAGTCTATCCAGCAATGTATTCCCGAACTTCTCCATCGAAATTGCGATCCCTCCAGAAAATGCTGATCTTGGTGCCATGGTCGCTTCCTGTCCGTGGCTGGCAGTGACAGACGTCCAGAATGATCTGCCACATTTTCTATGGGACCGAAAGAACAAACGCACTGTTGTTGCACGGGACCTCTCGGGCTCCATCCAATACACAGCTATTAGCCACACATGGGGACGTTGGCGCAAGAAAACCCCAGGATTATGGCTACCGGGCGTACAACATTGGCAAATCCCAGAAAATACGAAATTCGAGGTCGCCGATCTGCCTGATATGCTTACAAATGTCCCCACGGGTACTGAATATATTTGGTTCGATCTCCTCTGTATTCCGCAAGATCCTCGCACTCCGGACCATCCCCAGGAGCAATGGTTAAAGGACATAGCCAAGCGCGAAATAGGCCGGCAAGCCCAGATTTTCCGGCGGGCGAAGGTCGCTATAGCGTGGCTCAATGATATCGAGAACTGGGATGGGATGCGCGCAGTAATCAGCCGAATTGGGCTGCAAAGACGAGGTGTGCAAATTTCCGATCGCTTGGTAGACTATCTTAAAGGAGTCGCCCATCTGCCAATTGAGCTTGGTGGTTTTCGCACCAGAGAGCAGGTATTAGGTCTCCCTCCACTTTATCATCAAGTACTTCTGGAAGACGGGAGTAGGGTGTGGCAACCAAATCTTTATGCCCCATCTGAAGACATCTATATGGCAGCAAATCTGAGCAGGTTAATGGAAGACTCTACTACAAACGGCCAGGAAGATCCTTCGGCAAAGGAGGAAATGGAAGATCCTTTCAAGGAGTACGTCACACCGTTGGAGGCCTGCGAGCAAATGTTCTTCACCCAAAAAGACGCTTGGGACGAAATGAACCCATGGTTCTCTTCCCTCTGGACGCTGCAGGAGGTATGCGTCTGCCCACAAATGCGGATGTGCACCAAAGGATGGGATTTGTTGGAAGTAGGGCCGCGAGGAGCAAAGCTGCCGATTGGGTTCGATGATCTTGTTGCACTAAGTGAAGCCCCCTCGCAGCACCTCGATGGGGAGTTCGATAAAAAGGTCGGCTTTGTGGCAGATGGGATACCCGCCCTGAGTAGGCTCCTGCAACAGACGGGCTTGCAGAACCTCTTACATGCAGATAGATCTACTATCTTGGCTTTCGGGAATCAAAGGTATTGCCAGGAGAATCGTGCAGAGGCCATCATGTCTGCGATCGGTGTCACGGAGTGGTTCAAACAGAAATCTTTTTCGAAAGCCGAATCTCTGGACTCAAAGCAAACACAAGAACCAACAGATCATGACCCGATGGACGACTTCCAGACGAGCGAATATCCTGAGGCTTTCCTCACCGAGGCGGCGACCAAACTCGGAGCGCTTTTCTACGCTTCTAACTTAGCCGATAACGAACTGATGCTGCTTCTCTGGCAGCTCAACTCCTCGTCAAGAGCAGTTGAAAATGGCCTCGGCAGCATGTTTCCTTTCGCTTCGAGATCAAAAGTGCGCAACCATAGGCTTGGTGTCATGGGCGATGCGGTCACTGATCATCCCTCAGTCAAGAGCTGGCGAGTATGCAAACGCTGCGTGTATATCCGTGAAGCGGGAATCATCTCCTATACGGGACAGATACAAAGGCAGGCAGGGAGGGGCAATGTCTGTGTGATAAATGGGCCTTTCCTTGGAGATGCACAAGGGCTGACGACTGTGGATCATGGCACAAACTTGGATATGTGGGTTGATCGCTTCCTCCCCGCGACGAAAAATTATGCAGTCTGCTTAGTCACTGCTAACTGGGGATTCTATGGCATTTTGTTGAAAGAGCTTTCGTGTGGAAGTCTTATCAAGGTTGGAACATTTACACTTTTCACGGAAGGCGAAATCGAGGTCGGGCGGTACTCTGTTGATTGGAGAGTATTGTAGCGTCCGCATATCCGACTATTTTACTTCTTACTCATAAAGTGCTTTCAGCTCTGTCCACTCCGAGCTGATCCCTTGCAGCACTTTTATATGCTCAGTAACATCCGTCCTAAGAATTGTCCGGTGGCAAATGCCAAAGCGGCGCCAGTGCTCCTGGTTCCTTCCGATCGGAGAATAATCAGGATCCATACACATATCAAGCTACGCGCCGGTCACGCCAAATACAAGAAGTGACGTCGCTAAGGATCATTACATGCATTTTACCCCCAGGAGACGTTTCTACAAGTGATTCGAGAACTACCGGCGGCAGGACTTTGCGACGTAGAGTAGTGCGAGTATAAGAATTCTTATTCCATGAGTGTGGATATTTTATAAGTTGCACTAACGTACTTTATCATCGAGCCGACCATATCATCGAGCCGACCACTTTTGCCAAGCCCCCACCAAAAATCATCTTAACTACTATGAGTCCAGCTACCTACACAGAATCGTCCTCTTACGAAGCTAGAATACAGCTTGCCCTCTCTACTCTCTAGACTAGCTAAATTTAAAGCGAACGACGCGCCGCAGCTATATACAGAGTCTACTAATTAACGCTAAAGGACTAACGCGACAGAACAACTTAAAGACGCGAAAAGACACCTAATTAAACAAAGCTTACTACAAATAAAGAGCAGGCAATAGTTAAGTATATACTAGACCTAGACAAGCGAGAATTTACCTTCTATCTTGCTACTGTTTAAGATATAGCTAACAAGCTACTTACTAAGTAGAGTAAGAACGCTATTAGTTAAATCTAGCTAAACTACTTTATTACATACTATTCTAAGCTTAAAACATAGCTTAATTATAAGTACAACTATTAGAAAGTAAAGTAAGAAGATTCTATAATTATTTAGGCGTAGTTTAACCTAGTAGGTAATTATAACGGTTCGACTCGGCTCCGACTCGGTGCTTCGGCCCGACTCGGCTTCGCCCAAGTCACATGACCCTGCCTAGCGCCTTGGCATAGGCACCCTGTGTATATAGAGAGCTCTCGAAGCATTCTTCTGCTCCTTACCTTTAGATAGCTAAATTTAACCTAACCTACTCTGCTAGCACCTCTTATTCTTATAGCTCGTGGAGACTATACTACCTGCAGCTAACTTATCTAGCTAGGTGTTCTAGAGGCGCTTACAGTAGTAGAGACTACAGACCTAGCTCTTATAGTAATACAAAGGTAAAGTATAGTATTACTAATAAAGATACGTATAATTTTAATAAATCTAGCTTTATAATAGAAATAATATTACCTTAGGTAGTAGTTACTAGCTCTAAGAGATAATTATAACTAAAGAGTCTTTAACTAGATAATTATAAGTAGATTTTAGTAATTATAATAGTAAGAGTAGTAGGTAATATATAGATTCTACTATTTCTTATTATTATAAGTAAGAACTATCTCTTAGTATAGTATAAAGGTAGCTAGCTACTACGCGACTAGGTTATAGCTATCTCTAAAAGTAGCTAAATAATAAATAAAGTTAGTATTATATAGTTAAAGTACTTTAACGTATATACTAAGAGTTATATTATAGACGTATATTATCTACTAATTTTAGATAGCTATAAAAGCTATAGCTCTATTAAATTCTAGTAGTACTATAAGAAGAATAAAATTATAGCTCTTTATATA